AGTGGAAAGATAAAAGGGATGTTCTTCTTCTCACCACTAAGCACACTACAGAAACCGTAGCCATACAGCGACGCAGTGGTATGGTTCATAAACCGAAGGCAATAATTGAATACAACAAAGGAAAGTCATCGATTGATCAATCTGATCAGATGACCTCTTATAATTCATCTTTACGAAAATCACTAAAGTGGTATCGAAAATTAGCGATAGAATTCATTCTGGGGACAGCGGTTGTAAATTCTCACATAATATATAACCAGCTTGCTGACAAAAAAATTAAAATTACAGAGTTTCGTCAAGATTTAGTGAGATCCCTACTAACTTATGAAGAGACAAATAATGAAAATGAAACAACAGAACCATCCAAAAAATCGGCACAATTTCATAAGCTGCTTAAAAAAGAAGGGTCTTTTAACAAAGCGAGAAAATATTGTAAAGGCTGTTATGCAAAAAAACTTCGTGGAGAAATATCCAAAAACCATGTAAAAAAAGTGGTGACCTATTGCGATATCTGCGAGGGAAAGCCTCATTTTTGTTTAGATTGTTATAATATACATTCGAAGTAGTTATATTTATTTGTTTATAGTATACTGTAGCCTTTTTTTTTCTTGTTGTGTGTAATAGAAGTACTTTAATTTTTTATTAAAAAATAAAAATTGCAGTTTTCTTCAATATTTGTACAGCAATTCTAAAACTCGCAATTATATGCGATCCTTGTATGCCACAGCGGTCGTATACTATATCTAAATCCATTCTAAATACGACCGCTGGCAAGTCAAGACTTAAAATTTTGTTGAGTGCATAGCGGGCGTATACGCCCGCCGGGGCATATTGGGAAAATTACGAAGCGGGCGTATACGCCCGCCGTGGCAGTCAACCTGATATATATATATATATATATATATATATATATATATATATATATATATATATATATATATATATATATATATATATATATATATATATATATATATATATATATATATATATATATATATACATATATATAGACATTTTGGCTTCGATTCTTCTGGTAGTTGTACATAAAACTAAATGCTAAATTTCTCAAAACTTCTCGTCGGGTCTTTGTGGAACTTGTAATGTTATATATATATATATATATATATATATATATATATATATATATATATATATATATATATATATACATATATATAGACATTTTGGCTTCGATTCTTCTGGTAGTTGTACATAAAACTAAATGCTAAATTTCTCAAAACTTCTCGTCGGGTCTTTGTGGAACTTGTAATGTTACAAGTGTAAATAACAAAGGAATTTATTGCTGTAACATTTAAAAGGTTGTACAAAACAACCTTAGGCCATCTTCTACTACGACGTGCCACATCATATTGTGCGCATAATTTATCTACGGTATCAACACATCTTTTTGTGCTGTTATATGCTAATATGATTTCCAGTTTTCCATTTACAGGATCAACGTCGTCCCCATGATGCATAGTGGAATATAACAGAAAGTTTTTTTTTGGTTTATATGACACCAGTGTTCCTCTTGAACCAAACCTAAATGTACTAGAGCCAAAAGATTATCCTTGATTGTTAGATAAATATGCAGGAATTTCTCTTCTATTTACTTTTATTGTTTCCAAGAAAGTTAAACCATTGTCCTTCAAGCTTATACCAAGATCAACGCTGGTGTAAAAATTGTCGGTGGTAACATTTTTCTTAGATCCGTACATATTTTGACAGGCCCGTTCCGCCACTGCCTTGGTACTAGTGTCTAGATAGTATAAACCACCCACTTGGTTTTTACCAACGTATACTTCCATGTTACTGGTATAAAATAACTTTGCATCAGTCAGTGCAAATATTTTTATACTGTATCTATTAGGTTTGCTTGGTATGTACTGGCGCAACGAGCACCGTCCCCTAAAAGCCTCCAACTTTTCGTATACGGTTACGTATTGCGAATGAAAGAAACGTTTTTTCTGATTTTCGTTCCACTTGGTAATAAGATCTCTTATTGGCGCTAATTTATCCAAACTAACTGTATTATGCCTTATATTGATATTATCAGTTCGCATGTACCTTAGTTAATAATTTCTGAATCTTGGGATGTTTATTGTCGGTCGGAAAACCTCTATACCAGTGCCGTCCGTTTTCCACAAGTCTGTTGTATTAAGGTGACTTGCCTTTCTTACACCTGCAAGATATAAGAGACCTAAAAGGGCACGAATTTCATCAATGTTGGGTATATATGCGATATGCTTCTGCTTCTATTTTTGTATTGGTCCCACCAACAATTGTTTGCAACGTATCAATATCAAATAGATTGTTTTAGATATCTAAAATATCGGTTTTCTATCTGACTCATTGTTTTGAAACCGAAAGCTGCAGAACAATATTTTCACTTCAAGTTCTGATGTTTTAGTGGCAATAAGCTTAGCCCACAATAAAAGCCCATAATAAAATTTGTGAAACTGGCTATATACCAACGGATTGACGACTGTCGACTTTTGTGACGATTCCTAAAAAAGCAAATGCAAAAAGATGTAGTGACTACCTAACCATCAGCTTGATGAGTCATGTTTTAAATATATTTCTACGAATTTTGCACTCTGGGATGTACCACAAAATAGATCAACAACTTGGTGACACACAGTTTGGATTTCACAATAACCTTGGAACAAGAGAAGCATTATTTAGTATTCAGGTTATGGTACAGAGATGCAGAGATGTCGGACATCCAGTTTATATGTGTTTTATCGACTTTGAGAAGCCTTCGATTAAGTAAAATATACTGAAATGATAGCCATTCTTCAGCAGGTAGGTATTGATGATAAAGACCTACCCATTGTTAAAAACCTTTACTGGTATCAACGTGCAACATGAAGATTAGCCAGGACACTTCTGAAGAGCTTCAAATACGAAGAGGAGTAAGGCAGGACTGCATTTTGTCCCCGCTACTATTTAACATCTATTCTGAGTACGTTTTCAATAAAGCAGTGGATAATGTTCAATGTGGCATAAAAATGAATGGCGTCAATACTAATAATTTGAGATATGCGGATGACACAGTGTTAATTGCAAGCAATTACGAAGAACTTCAACATCTAATTTATAGGATTACCACAACGTGTGATGAATATGGCCTTAAGCTAAACACCGCAAAGACGAAGGTGATGGTCGTCAGTAAAACGCCAATACAACCGGAAGTGGTAACAGCTTATGGTGAACAACTGAGCAAAGAAATTAGAACACGGATAGAGAAGGCCAGAGCTGCATTCTTTAAGATGAAGAAACTGTTATGTAGAAACAATATTACTTTAAGTCTAAAAATTAGATTAGTGAGATGTTATGTGTTTTCTACTCTTTTGTATGGTGTCGAGAGTTGGACTTTGACGGATACACTTCTCAAGAAACTGGAAGCCTTCGAAATCTGGGTATATCGGAGAATCCTACGAATAAATTGGGTGGATAGAGTTCGTAACGAAGTTGTTTTGTATCGGATGGGAAAGGTTACGGAAGTCGTCAAAACACTTAAAAATCGCAAACTTGAATATTTTGGCCATGTTATGCACCACCCAGAGAGATATAATATACTCCATTTAATAATACAAGGCAAGGTAGACGGAAGAAAGGGGCCAGTTCGAAGAAGAACGTCATGGCTTAGAAACCTGAGAGATTGGTTTAACAGATCCTCTGCATCTCTTTTCCGAGTTGCCGTGAAGAAAATTACTATAGCCAATTTGATAGCCAACGCTCAATAATCGAGCACGGCACATGAAGAAGAAGAAGATCTGGTTCACTTCTGACGTGACATCATATTTATATGTACTATACGTCTCACGTCGTTTGATTTGATGCGTCATATCCTAATTAAGCAAATTTACCTTATAGTGTGTCTATTAACCTTCATAATATTATGTGATATCTCGTATGTCGCTATATGTTCATTACTAACAACGATGATGTGTAGTACCGTTTTGGAAGTCGCCTTGTTGGTTTTTTCTATCTTAATATATTCGTTATATCATCTCATTTCATTTGCTATGTCGCATGTTACGATTCAATCAGTTGTTTATTTTGACAGACCTTCTTCAAGTCAATAAATCAAAATTTGTCTTTTAATTAACCTATTTTTATCCATAGTGCGCTGTGATATGTCCTATGTAACTATATACTCATTAGTAATGAAGATGTTGTGTGGTGCTCTTTTGGTAGTCGTTTTGTTTGTTTGTTCTACTTTATTATATTCTATATATTCTCTCCTTTCATTTAACGTATCACACTCTACAATCGGATCAATAACAAGGGAGATATGATGTAATTCCCTTTTGACAATGCCGGTATGTGTGTTTTTCCATCTCAACCTCAACAAACGCACTACAGCCTCCCCTTTCCAATGATGTATCATACGTCACGATCCGACAAACTATTCTACCCCTACCACAAAACACTGAAAAAATAAGCAGAATGAACCTTAACGTTTTTTGATGGGATTTTACATGGGAAATGGGGCCGAAACTGTATAGCCCTTTACTTCTAACAGAAATCTTTAAAAGATTAGTTTGCTTAATAAATCTTACCTTACAATTACAGTTAACTATATTTTAACAATTTAGAGAAAAAGTTAATTACTGATGAACTAGTAAACTTTCCGAGTAATGATATTTGAATCATTAATTTGTAGAATAAATTAACAATAAATCATCCGTAACGTTTTAACAACAAAATATGATTGCAATGTTAGATGGTAGTTAAGATTTCTTTCCTATGTGGCGCTAGGAGTTATCACCCCAGACAAACTGCGTGACGTTTCATCCTAGCATTTTATATAGATAGATTTTTACGTAGTTTTACATTCGTTTAATTCGTTCGGCTTTTGTTCTTTTCCGTTAACACAAAAATAAACAAAAGCAGACAAAATTCCCCTTAACAAAATCGACTTAAGTCACAAAACAAAAGTTAGGTAATTAATAATGTGGGATACAGAATAAGGAATAGGAAATTAAAATTTATTTTTGCAGTAGATAAAAAATAAATATTTATTAGTAAATCTTTTATATACAAAAATCTTTAAATATATTAGGTTTTCTACAATCACTTAACAAAGAAACATTTTTGCTTATAAGACAAAATTACTTTAAGTTACTCGTTCTTATTGAACGACAATAATAGACTTGACAATAGTTTGAACACGTAGGGGACGATTAGGTCCGCCCTATAATGATTAACAATATTTAAAGATCAAAATAAGAGTTATAATAATTTTATGCAAGGTCCGTTCTTCTTTCACCAATCTTCCCAAGTAGTATACTCCTCTATTAGATGAAGGGCGACAATAGCTGCTGGACGCAGTAGATTTGAGAGTGATGCAAGTCACTTGGTGGTGAGTTCTGGGAAGGAGAAGATGTGGACAAATTGTGGAAAATACCAAAACCCAGTACGGTTTTAAGCTCCAGGATTAATGATTATGATGAACTCTATTGAATGCAAATATATCTATTGTCCCATTGCTTTATAATACCGAACCTAAATATGTTTTGAAAAATATTACATTTCACAACAATTTCATCGTCCAATGTGATCATATTATTTGTAATAGTCATTTCATTTTTAAAGAAATATTTTAGAAAATCTGTTTTTAATCTAGTTTTATTATCACTTTGAAATTCTGCTATCTGTCGATCCAACTATGAGTACAAATAGTTGTGACATGCAAATTGTAGATTCCCCTTCTCGGTTTGTTCATCAATCGGTCTACTTTGTATATGGATGGTCTCATGCCAGAGTGAACTATGTACATTTTCTTCGTTTTTACTTTTTCGTTGCCATTATGAGGCACACTTTTGTTCTAAACTTATGCCAAAATGAACTATGTAAATAAAACAAAACATTAGCTGGAAACTAATAGATTTTGCTAGCACAAGGATAATAGTACTGGTTGTCATATGCCACAGTGGACCGTTATCCAGTCCAAGATGGGTCCTGTGCACATAGTTCACATTGTCATAACATTGCTGATAGAAATTCTTGTGACGATGAACTCGCTGATTTTAGTAGTTGTTCTTCAGATAATTACCATCCAAGTTCTGATTCGAATATTACAGAATCAGGTAAGATAATAATATTTATTAACATAAAACTTCATTATAAAAGTATGGTTATGTTTTGGAATGTTTCTTTTACCAAAGTGAATCATGTGAAAATGTATTCAGTGTTCGCTGGGAGCGCTAGTGAAATATTAGCAATTGTACCAACCCACGAACATGGTTTTTACCTATCTATATTAGAATGAAGCAATATATCCCAACATTTTTGTATTGGAATTGTAAAAAAATTAAAATCACATAATATTTAAAATTCTTCAGGTACTGTCATATACTCTAAATCTTTTAATGACTATTCCTGCAATTGCAAAGCACAGCAAAAAGAAAGTTTTTAATTTATTTTATAACGAGTCACAGTCTTGGGAAACTCAAACAAGCATAATAAGTGATGGTATAAAATTTGGAACGATAATAAGACGTCGCAAAAACATTGTTATTTAAAAAAAAAGAAATCTTGAATTCTATATTCCTTCTGAAAACGAAGATAAGTATGCACAAAAATGTTTATGGGAATATTGAAAATCGATAGTAGTAGAGTACGTCTCGTTTTGCTTAAGAAATAAGTGGAAATTTAAGTGATCTTAGAGGGAAAAAAGTGACTCATAACTAATTGTAATTAAAATTCGTCACTAATGTCCAGACTGTCACTGTTGATAGTTTAAGAGAGAAAAATGTCGACAAAACTCCAAGCCAATCGCTTTATGAAAAAGTGTTCAGACGTGATTTTAATCTTAGTATTAAACCTTCACTAAAAGATACCTGTCAATCATGTGACAGGTTAAACATTAAAATAAAGGCAGCTGGGTTAATCAAAATTGAAGCAATGTTAAAGGCTAAGAAACTAAACTAGCCCGCTCAGAACTAAATGAAGACGTAAAGATTAGTAAAGAAAGGAAAGCTACAGTAATTAGTTTTGATCTTTAAAAAGTAATGCTTCTTCTATGTAAGAGGCATCTTTCATGCTACAATCTTGTAGCATTTTGGCAGCATTTTTTTGAAAATGATGTCGGGATAATGTATGTTTGGGATGTGACCACAGCCTCACGGGGTTCCCAGGAAATGGGATCATGTATTTTAAAATTCATAAATACCCATAAGGACATATTGATTGCTTGGTCCGACTCGCTTTATGGATGTACATATTGCAGTGACCTAATTTAAACCTAAAAGAAGTAGTTCATAGGTTTTCTGTGCCAAAACATTCATATCTTTAAAACGATAGCGATTTTGGTGATATAGAAAAAAAGTTAAAATATCATCCTGAAATTTATGTGCCTACACAATGGCATAACATAATTTTAAACCCAAAAGTTAAAAAAAACATATTTAAAGTAGTACGCAAGAAAAAAGAGGATTTCAAGTGTATGGATGCATTAAAACAAAATCTAGTAAATCGCAAAAAAGACTCAGATTAACAAAAAGTAGAATGGTTAAAAATAAAACAAATGAAATTTACTCAAGCCAATCTACGAGTTATGGAATTTAAATACACATACAACAAAGAAAGACAATTTTATTCAGTAAATCTAAATAAGAGATTGAAAGACCAACCTGTAAATCTAGCTTCTGTAAACGTAAGAATTCTTTACTCTGAAGGACGAAAATTAAGTCAAGAAAATCTTAATGATATTAGATCACTTTTGTAATTCGTATCACCATGCCACCATCAATTTTACAATAAACTTCAACAAAGTGAATTGGAAGATGACATGGAAGAAGAGAACGACAATATCACTGAAGAGGAAAATTAGATGAACAATGCGACCTAAATATTGCTACTATTTTTTTTTATTTTATTCGTAGTTATTGTTAGTTCAATTGTGTTATGTAGGTTTTAATAAACCTGATTACAAACAAAAAGAACGATTTATTTATAATTCTCAAGTCAAACAGAACTAAATGCTAAAAAGTTTGCCAAAGTTAACTATTTACTGCAAACAATGATAAAAGAGCCTTAAAAGTAAACATAATCATTTGAAGTTACTAAAAAATTTAAAGAGATGTTCTTTTGATTAGATTTTAGAACCTTTTATACTTTAAACAAGATTATAATATACTGTGTATCACCGATTTAACTTCGACACTACCCAAAAAATACCACAAATCCTAACCTTATCATTAATGCATTCAAAGAAATTATGGAGAAGTATCCAAATCACCACATAATATACACGGATGCATCAAACACTGAAAATGGAAATGCCGCAGCCTTCACAAATAACAATTAGGTACAAATATGCCATTAGAATTCCACAGCACTGCAGCATTTACACCGGGGATACCACAACAATATTAGAAGCTATCAAAAACTCCTCTTCAACGTCTGAAAATAATATTTTAATCATCACAGATTCACACAGCGCAATTCATGGCATTAATCAACTTTACTCTAGCGATCCTATTACACAAAATATAAAAAATGAACTTAATGCACTACACCATATAAATAAAAAGGATATATTTAAGCTTAATACCTTTGGCATTAAAGGCAACGAGGAAGGTGATCAATTGGCATTAAAATCCATTAGAAATGAAAATGTTCCAGACATTACTAAATATTACCACACCGACCATAAACGACAGTCCATGAATCATATAATAAATTTATGGCAAGCAACCTGGGATGCAACAGACTCTTAAGTTGAAAACAATAAAGCCACGAGTAGACGCCAGCCTACCACAACAAGGAAAAAGAAGAGATCAAGTAATCGTAAATCGTCTTTAAATCGGCCACACAATACTAACACACCAACACCTTCTAAATAAAAACCCAGATTCGATTTGTATCTACTGCTCTACTCAACTCACCGTGAAGCATCTGATAGTCGATTGTCCGCAGCTCCAACCTCAGAGAACATGCCGAGGAATTAGTGGAAACCTGAGAAGTGACTCTGTTAGCTCAACTGATTTTATTTCATATCAACTATTTTGTCTAACAGTACTGTAGCGAATACAAATGAAACTCATAGACACCAATGGAAAATTATTCATTGATACCCAAGAGATGAAAGACAGATGGAGAATATATTTGGAGACACTTTTTCCAGACCAAAGAACGGATTATAGGCATCCATTTTCAGAGAGGATCACGGGCCCGGACATACTTAAATCCGAGGTAGAAGAAGCAATAAAACGGATGAAAAGCAGGAAAGCTGTAGGGCCTGATAATATCGAAGCTGAATTTTTAAAACTCTTGGAGGAAGAAGGAATAATTTGGAATTCATAGCGATACCTAAAAAACAGGGGGCTAAAAAGTGCGAAGAATATCGACCAATCAGCCTAATGAGCCACATGTTGAAACTGTTTCTTAGAGTCATCCATGGAAGAATTTATAAGAAGTGCGGGGAACAAATATCGGACAGACAGTTCGGCTTCATTAACGCAGTGGGTACCAGAGAGGCACTTTTTGGAGTACAGGTACTGATTTAAAGATGCAGGGACGTTAACTGCGACGTATACGCGTGCTTGATCGACTACGAAAAGGCATTTGACAGAGTTCAACATCAAAAGATGATAAACATTTTAAAACAGGCAGACCTGGATGACAAAGACCTCAGAATAATTTCAGAACTCTACTGGAATCAGACCGCATACTCGAAAATTAACGGAGAAGAAACAGATCACATAAAAATATTACGTGGAGTTAGACAGGGATGTATCCTATCGCCGTTGATATTTAATATGTACTCAGAAAAAATTTTTAACGAGGCTCTTTACGGAATAGACGAAGGCATCCTTCTAAATGGTGAAAGAGTAAACAATGTTAGATATGCCGACGACACCATGGTGATAGCAGATAGTTTAGAGGGACTTCAGAGGCTAATGGACAGAATAAACGAGTACAGTCAACAGTACGGACTAAACATTAATACCCACAAAACGAAACAAATGATTATCAGCAAGGAGAATATAAATGGGGCTCATATATACATTAATGGGACGCAGATAGAGCGAGTAAAACAGTATTGTTACCTGGAAACTATTATTAACGAACAGTGGAGCAATTTACAGGAAATAAAGTGCCGCATAGGAAAGGCAAGAACGGTCTTTAACAAAATGAGCGCCATCTTCAAAAGTCACAACATATCCCTTGATACAAAAATGAGACATTTGAGATGCTATGTTTTCTCTGTGTTGTTGTACGGGGCGGAGGCATGGACGCTTACAGACGCCACTATTAAAAAACTTGAAGCATTTGAGATGTGGCTTTATAGAAGAATGCTGAGAATATCATGGACAGCAAGGATCACGAACAAGAAAGTTCTAGGAAAAATGAAGAAGGAACCAGAGATTGTGTTTACGATCAAACGCATAAAATTGCAATATCTGAGACACGCTATGAGAAATCAGCACCGTTACTCCCTGCTACAGTCTATATTGCAAGGTAAAGTCAAAGGTAAGCGAGGACGCGGTAGAAGGAGAATATCATGGCTGCGGAATTTAAGAACATGGTTTAAGAAAACCTCAACGGAGCTGTTTCGAGCCGCAGCGAGCAAGGTTATGATTGCCAATATGATTTCCAACATCCGAAACGGATAGGAACTAGAAGAAGAAGAATTTTGTCTAATAAATTGTCAGAATATTTTTTGCTTCGCATTTTAACTTACTTTTTCATGCATGCATATTCTATTTTCGTCTTAAGCTCTATTTATGTATTATAAATAGTTATATACAACTTAAATTAGATATAGTTTCATGTTATTAAGTGATTGTATAAATAATGTGTATATTTTGAACAAAAAGTGAAATTATTGCTTCCTGGTAATTACAGTATTGTAACTATCATTCTCGAGCAATCATTTATCATTTTTTGCTCCGAGCATCGAAATTACTATTAAAGTACAGTATGTAAAAACGTTTGCATGTTTTACACGGTTTAGACAACGCCGACGTACAGTAAATCCACTTCATTGGTTTATTTTATTGTAAAATTTTTATTGGTCATTGTATAATATTCCTTGCTCTTTCTTGACGATTCCATTATAAACTTTTTCTTGGCTAAATTAGTTACCAAATTAAAATAAGTATCGACAAAAGTTGAAATATTTAGCTGATGTTATGTTAAGTTAGAAATACTCTCTGTTATAATTGGAAATGCATGGAAAGGTTCGATATTTAGTCTGGAACAAATGCAAGTAATTAAAAAATTTAATTGTGCGTGTTTTCTTTGGGCTATTCGTGTATTTTCTCATTGTCTTTTTAAATTGAATATAAAACTATTCAGTTTTTAAATGATTTAACAGTCCAGCTTGTTCGACCATCTTATAGAAGATACCCGCCGCGTTTGTCAACAGATTCATAGGTGTGTCGAACTCTTTGATTTGTCCTTTATCTAAAACCATCACTTTATCACATTCTAGAATACTATGCAGCCTGTGAGCAATCGTCAGCAAAGTGCAACCCGTGAAATTTTTCTTTATCGTATTATGTAGCAAAATATCAGTTTCATGATCCATGTTCGCAGTGGCTTCGTCTAAAACTATAATTTTAGTTTTTCTTAAGATAGCTCTCGCTAAACAAATTAACTGTTTTTCACCAGAACTGAAATTAGAACCACCACTGTTAGTTATCTTTACGCCTAAACTAGGAACTAGTTCTTTCATGTTTACTTCCTCTATAACCTTCCACAGCTCTTCGTCTTTAAACTCATCCATGGGATCTAGATTGGAACGAACGGTTCCTGTAAATAGAACTGGATCTTGTGGAATAATGGCTAGTTTTTTTCTTAAGAAGGTCAGGCTTAATGTTTGAATGTTCACGCCGTCTATTAGTATTTTTCCTTCTGGTTCATAAAGCCTAAATATCGTTGAAATAATTGATGATTTACCAGCTCCAGTCCTACCACATATGCCAATTTTTTCATTTGGTTCTACTTTGAAATTTAAGTTTTTCAATACAGTTTCTGAATTATTATATGTCAACGACACATTTTCGTACACTATTGCCCCTTGTTTAGGCCACTTTTCAACTTCGGAACCTTCTTTTGGTTCCGAAGGTATTTCTGTGTATTCTAAAAGTCTTTCAACTGATGTCATTAAGTTTTCTAGGTCAGCCCACGTGCGTACACCCCATTGTACTAAACCTGCTAACATGAAGATTTGAGTAAGAGTAAGACCAACATTTCCTGCACTGGTACCTAAAATGAAAAAGAACAAAAATAAATTAACTTTATATTTCATTTGTACAAAATTTCTATGTAAAATGTGTTTACCTGTGTCAAAAAATATGAAAGTAAATACAACTAGTATGATAAATATGGAGCAAAGGAAATCCATGATAAATCCAAAAGCTCTCATGGAACATAATGCAGTATAATGAGCAGATGTGAATACATCTTGATGTCTATCATATTCTCTAGTGAGAATTCCCTGTGCTTTATAAGCTCGTATGGTAGTAAGGCCCTCCAATGAGGCGTTTAGATGTCCAATCATTGGGCTTCGTGCTAAAAAAAAGTATTTGGATCAGAATGCGCAAAAATGTATGTAACTCTAGTAAAAGTATTACAAAAATATTAAGGGTAAAATCAATTTATTGGGACGAAATAAGTGCTACGTAACAACCGAATAAATACGTGACATTATGCATGTTATCAATGACATTTCTTTTAAGAATGAATCTTGTATAATTAACTCTTAAATGTCATGAGAACTTGTGTAAGCGACAATTATCTGGAGGTGTTAAAAAAAGTGCAAAGGCCTTTATTTTTTATGAGTTTGATAACAGTATAGTAGTGTACCATATATTTTGCAGTCACTTGGTAGTTTCTAGGCGACTAGTACCTCGTAGACCTGAAAGATTTTATTAAATGTTTTAGGTTCTCATTGGAATCTATATTGTGTTCGAATCCAGGCTTTTTTCAGGTTGAAGGCGGTGTTTTTTAGATGGCTGTGTTACGATGTTATACGGTGCAGAGGCCTGGACTCTTAAACAGAACAGCATAAAAAATATTGAAAGTTTCGAGATGTGGTGCTACCGTCGAATGCTGAAGATAAGTTTGGTTAAAAGAGTCACAAACTTTGAAGTAATACGAAAGATAGGAAAAGACGCAGAAATTTTATCAACGATCAAACGAAGAAAACTCGAATATTTGGATCACCTGATGAGAGGACACGAACACGTATTATTTCAAAATATAATACAAGGAAAAATAGAAGTAAAACGAATCCAGGTCGTAGAAGAATGTCATGGTTGTGTAATTTAAGAGAGTGGTTTGGCTGTATCACTAATGAACTCTTTAGGTCGGCTGTAAACAAAATCGGGATAGCCTTGATGATTTCCGATCTCCGATAGGAGTGGCACAAGGAGAAAAAGAAGTTACAATGTTACGTCAGTGTATCAAATTATTTTTGGCATTTTTAATACTAACTTAGAGGGCTTCTAAGAGCAACCAAGGTCGCTTAACTATTTTGAATAATTGATTCGATTTAGTTTCGGTCTCATGTTAGTTTCTTGTTAGGTTTAGAAGGTCTTATGTTAGTTTCTCTTTAGACCGTGAAACAAAACAGGCACAGAACATGGACATGAGCAGACTTAAAGATAACAACACAAACGGAAAGAAAAACAAATTGAAGTATAACTTAAACACAGAAAAGAACAAAACAACTCTGAAAATGGCATCATGAAATGTAAGAGGTATAAATGAGAAGGAAATACAACTGGGGGAAGAAATTAGAGATAACAACATTGAAATAGTAGCTATAACTGAGACAAAGAAAAGATAAAGAAGATCAATAATATTAGAAAACGGAATGTTACTAATATACAGTGGAGTGAAAGAAACGAAGAGAGCTCAGGCAGGGGTAGCGTGCATGATAAAGAAGGATAGTATCAACAAAGTAAAAAATTGGATATATTACAACGAACGTATACTAAGAGTAGACATAGATATGGATACAGAGAAAACCAATACAAACCTAATAATATGCTATGGACCAGATGAAGTCGCAACAAAAAATGAAAAGAATGAGTTCTGGGACAAATTACAAGAAGTGATAAATGATTGTACAGAGAAAATTGTGATCACAGGAGACATGAATAGTAGAGTGGGAAAAGAAGCAGAAAAATGGAACAATGCCATCGGACCTTATGGGGAGGCAAAAATAAACAAAAATGGAAAATTACTACTCGAATTCTGTCTAGACAATAACCTGGTGATTATGAACACACACTTCCAACATAAAAAGATACACAAGATCACAAGAGAAGTCAAATCAAGAGATGAACAATCAATTATAGACTATACTATAGTGCAAAAAACAGAGAAAAACTGGATAAGAGACGTAAGGGTGAAAAGGAGTTATGAAATTGGTAGTGACCACTATCTACTAGAAACCAGATTCAATTGCAAAAGAAAAGAAATGATAACATAAACAAAAAACACAAAGAAATAATAAAAATTTATAAACTAAGGGAAGAAACAACGAAGATAAGATACTCAGAAGAGCTAGAGAAAGTGATGGACAATGAACATGAAATAACAGAAACAATAGAAGAAGAATGGGGAAAATTTAAAAATGCGATGATAAAAACATCTAAATCAATATGTGGAACTACAAGAAATAACAACAAAGGGAGACGTACATTCCACATCTTGGTGGAACGATGAAGTGAAAAGAGAAATAAAAGAAAAGAAGAAGTTATGGAAAGAATACATAAAAGACAAAACACAACCAAAATATGAAAATTATAAGAGACAAAGAACAAAAGTTAAAGAGATAGTTAAGAAAGAGAAAAAGAAAAGTTGGGAAAAATTTGGAAAAAAAATGGAAGAAAACAGCACAGAACACGTAAAATTATTTTATAGAACACTGAAAACCCTAAGAAGCAACAAAAAACGAGACTAAAACAAATAATAAACAAGGAAGAAACAATAATAAAAGACGATAAGACAATAATGGAAAGATGGAGAGAACACTTCCAGCTGATACTGAATGGAAATCAAGCGAATACAATGAAGAACGAAAGCCACATCAAAAGAGCATACATGAGAAACATGGAAAATCCAGAGACTATAGAAAAAGAAGAACTAGAAGAAGCAATAAGAAAGATAAAGATTGGAAAAGCACCAGGAAGCGATGAAGTAGCACCAGAAATGATGAAATATATAGGAGTAAAAGCAAAGGAAAATTTGTTATACATATATAACCTAATATGGAAGAGAAAAGTAATACCCAGAGAATGGACAAATGCAGTAATTATACCTATATACAAGAAAGAAAACACAAGAGACTGTAAGAACTATAGAGGTATATCACTACTATGTGTAGCAGCAAAAGTATACGAAACCATAATAGAAAGGAAAATCAGAAAAGAAATAGAACATCAATTAGAGGATGTACAAAGTAGATTCAGGAAAGGACACAACACACAAGACCATATATTCACCATGCAACAAGTCATAGAAAAGGCCTTAAATAAAAATAGAAAAATATATCTGAGCTTTATAGACATGGAAAAAGCATTCGACTCAGTCAAAAGAAAAGATATATGGGAAAGCCTAAAAAGAAGCAAGTAAGTGAAGAACTGATAGAAGCAACAAAGAGTATATACATACAAACACAGTAAGCATGTCAAATATGCAGTCAGAACCATTTGAAACAACTCAAGGAGTTAGACAAGGAGGAAGTGTCAGTCAGCCCAGTGCTATTCATAAATGTAATAGATGAGATAGTGAAAGAATGTAAGAAAACGTTCAAGAAATACTGCATCGGTTGGAACAGAATGCAAATGATAAACGCTGAGATGTGTATATTTGCAGACGACATAGTATTAATTGCGGAAACAACAGAAAAACTGAAATACAACGTAGAGAAATGGAACCTAGAAGCAAGCAAATACAACTTAAACGTAAACAAAGAGAAGACTCAGATAATGAAAATATCAAGGAAACAAGGGACGGAAGATCAACTAGAAATAATGATAGACTAACAAAAAATAATACAGACAAATTCATACAAATACTTAGGAACAGTAATCAACAACAAAGGAGACATCGAGGACGATCTTAACAATAGAATGGAAAACACAGGAAAACTATTCCAAGCACTAAATAGAGAATTCCTTAATAACAAAGAAATATCAACAAAGACCAAGATGACAATATACAAAACAATATATAGACCTACAGTGAAATATGGAGCAGAAAATTGGATACTAAACAAAAGGCATCAAAGCAGAATTCAGGCAGCAGAAATAAAATACCTCAAAAGAACGATCGGAGTAAAAAGAACTGATAGAATCAGAAATGAAGAAATAAGAGAAAGACTAAAAATCAAACCGATTCTCGAATCAATCAAGGAGAAAAAATTGGCATGGTTCGGACATCTAACCCGGATGGACAATAATAGACAAGTAAAAAAGAGTGTGGGACGCCAAACCAATAGGGAAGAACAGAAGAGGAAGACCCATTAAAGAATGGAACAGTGACATCTCGCAGATACTGCAGAGTAAGGGTAAGACTTGGCAGGAAGCAACTCATGGCATACAATAGGAAGGAATGGAGAAAGTTTGTCAAGAGCTAGGTCACCTCAGAAGATTGTAAAATATTGTAATATAAAGAATTGTATTATAAACGGCCCAACACCGAAAGGTACAAATGGGTCTACTGATTAAGTTAAGTAAGTGTGTTAGTTTCTCGTGCCCAGTGCAAGCTTACGTAAATTTTATCTTAAAATAAAAAGGAAACAAGTAGAAAGACGACTGCCGTCGTAGACATTGTCCCAATTAAGGTCTTACAGATGAACCTTCAACACAAAAAGGCAGTTTTGGCAGGATTTACTTTTGCTATTAGGTTTTATGTCGCCTTAAAAAGGCGAAGTCCTCAAGACTTGTGTAGTATTTAATGTAAGATGCACAATAAGTCAATTGTATGACCGATGTATAAGTGACAGTTTCCAGAGAAGGAAAAAGCCCCACTAGAAGAAAAATTTTGGACAAAATAAGCAATAGCTATATTTTTACTTACTTGCAGCCTCCAATCTTTTCAAACTCCTTCCAGCTGGTAAATATAATTTCCGGATGAAAATCAATGACGAGAAAAACACCAAAGCAAAAATGAGAAAATAGGGATTTACAAAGGTGATTAACAGTACAATTCCAGCTACAGCGAAAGTTACCTGAAAAACAAACGAAATAATAGATTATATGAATATAAATGTAATTACTATTTAATATACAAAAATTTAATAAAAGTTATTAAAAATCCTTTATAAGAGGTATATTTTTTTAAATTTTGCTATCTATGGTCAGTTTAGAGCCTGCATCTCCGGACCAGTAACCCTCTTCTTCTTCTTCTGGTAGCACTACAACCCGGGGTGGGTCTTGGCTGACTGCACAACCTGCTTCCATCTCGAACGGTCGTCCATGATGTTTAAGTCAGTGGGTAGCCCCATTGTTCTCAAATCTGACCATATATTATCTCTCCATCGCATTCGTGGACGTCCTAAGGGCCTTCTCCCTGTCGGGACTTCTTCCCAGATTAACTTGATAAGGCGGTTATTGGGGAGCCTATGAACATGGCCAGCCTATCTTAGACGTTGGGATTTAATCTCTTAGACTACATCGCTAGCACTATACATTTGTTTGACCTCGGCATTTGTTCTCATTCGGTATTGGTTAGTATTCGGATCGTGATAGGGACCGAAGATCTTTCTGAGAATTTTTCTCTCAAAGCATCTGAGTTTACTTTCCATTGCTTTTGTCAGCGTCCACGTCTCACACCCATACATGAGCACCGGTCTAATTACTGTTTTATATATCCTGATTTTTTATGTTCGTGTTAGGCTCTTGGATTTAATAGTGTTGTGGAGGCTATACATACATCTGTTTGCTGCCTGAATTCTCCCTTTTATCTTTTCCGTGATATAGTTATCTGTGGTGATAGTCGCTCCGAGATATTTAAAACTCTCTACTCTTTCAAAGTTATAGTGGTCTATTGTTACATTTTGTCCTATTTTATCTCGTCTCTTTTGTCTGTTAATGCACATATATTTGGTTTTCTCTTCATTGACCCTTACACCGGTATTTTTTGCCTCTCTCTCTAATTTATTAAAGGTTTCTTTTACATTGGTGACGGTATTTCCTACAATGTCAATGTTATTCGCGTATACTAGTAGTAATTTTGGTCCATTTACTGTCAGTAGTTCTGTTCTAATTTGTGCGGTTCTTACTACTATTTCCAGGATTATATTAAAAAGAAATCATGACAGCGCGTCTCCTTGTTTCAGTTCACTGTTTATTTCAAACGACTCGGAGAGCTTGTTACCTATCCACACTCATCTAGATCTACAGCTATTTACACAAATTTTAACGAGCTGGATAAGTTTTTTTGGAACTGAAAGTTCTGCCATTGCATTCTACATCTGATCCCTTTTAATGCTGTCGTATGCTTGTCGGAAATCTATGAAGAGATTATGAATGGTTCTATTGAATTCCCATCCTTTTTCAAGCAGCTGCCTGAGAGTAAAAATCTGATCTATGGTCGATCTATTTTTTCTGAATCGGGCTTGGTATTCCCCTATGAAATTTTCTACAAAAGGTGTTAGTCTACTTAATAGGATGTTCGATAAGATTTTGTACGCCGTATTAAGTAGGGAGATGCCTCTATAGTTAGACCACTTGATTTTGTCTCCCTTTTTATGGATAGGAATTATTACACTTTCGTGCCATTTTGTTGGTATTTTCTCTTCGTTCCATATAAGTGTTATTAGTTTGTGTAATTGCCTATGTAAAGTTTCTCCTCCGTACTTAAGAACCTAACCCTCGTTGAGAGTTACGGTGCTATCAAGTGAATTACTTAAAATTTTAAGATCCTTCAAAATTATCAGCAACCAAAAACTTCCTGTAATGAAGCCCGTAAGGGTTCTTAAATAAATATACCTTTTATAAAGGTTTACATCCAACTACAAAAAAATATCTTTTTCCTTGTGGAATATAAAATTTGATTTTTATTAAATTTTTTATAAACAATAATTAGTGTTAAATTGTCAAAAATTAATATGACATCTGAAACTGGTGGAATGACCACCTTGAAGAACATAAACAAGGAATATATCATTAAGGGCTAAATGATTGTAAAGATTGTAAAAATGGTAAAGAAAATCACAGTTAAAAAAAAACCATAGATAAAATAAATTATGAATCACCTCCTAAGGAAGCAAAAATTCCCAGAAGCATGAAAAACGACAAACTTTTTACTTATTCCTAAGCCCGGAAAAGAACAAGGAACCGGAAGCTTTTAGACTGATCTGCTTATTAAACACAATCGACAAAATCTTGTCATCGATAAAGGAGGCTTGTCTGAATGCTAGTATGGGTTTAGGAAAGAGAAATTCGCAGATAAAAAATGCCTTCAACTGCGCGAGAAGAAATACTTCTTAAGTTGACAGATTAACATAGCAAGGAAAGATGTTATGCAGACATCGGCAGGAACAGCTCTGTAACATCCTTTACAATGATATACTAGAAAATTTAGGAGAATGAACACATGCTGAGAGTGGTTTAAGTTAACAGGCATTGAACCATGGATGCTTCCGAGGGTAAGACCCCCCAAAAAAACTTGAGGGCCTAAAGATGATGTAAAGGTTTGTAAAAATCGAAACGAGTAACTTATTCTCTTTTTTAACTTTAATAAAATCTATAACGGATTGTAAGTAGAAGACTTATTTCCCTAACATTTATTTCCTGGTTCAGTTGCAAATTAAAAGTTGCAACGAATACATATACTTGGGAATTAATTTAAGAAATTAAGAATAAAGTACTGGATGAAATGATGAAAATATAAAAGACCTGGTAGTAAAATGAAGACAAGTGATAGGAGCCCTGAATTCGGTAATACGGCAAAAAATATAAGAGAAGATACCTATAGATAGATACCTATAAAATATAAGAGAAGATACAAAGAGGATAACCTAAACTACAATATTAAAACCCGTGTTAATATAGGCAGAACTATGACAATTGAGCAAAAAATATATAGCCAAAATATTAAGTACTGAAATGGACTTTTGGAAGACAGCAGCAAGAAGATCTCGGTTAGAACACATAAGAAATGACGATATTAGAAAACAAATTGGAGTCTAAAGGAATATAATAAAAAAAAAAGAAAAACAGCAACTTGTAATGTACGGACACGTCAAATGAATGTCAGAAACCAGAATTCCAAAAAAAATTAAGACTGGACTCCTACAGAGAAACGGAAACGTGGAAGATTGGCAACAACATGGATGAAGAAAACTGCCAAAATAGCTTTACTGCTTTTTCACAAACATTGGCGAGCCCTATGTGAAACACCTATATGATAAACTTAAGACTCTAACATATTCCTTATACCATTTTTCTGCATGAAATTTAAATATTGTTCAGAAGTTTATTTAAATATAAATGTATGATCAAAATATATGAGAGAGAATTATCGGACAAGGCCGAAATTACGTTGACTGATGATGTAATGGTTAAATATTTTTATACTTAAAAATCTGTTTATACATACCCTTATACATTCACTAAATATGTTCAGTATATGCTCATCAATATTTGTCATATCCTGTGAAAATCTATTGAGCACATTCCCAATAAAATGAGTGTCAAAAAACACCATAACAGCATAAGTAATACAAGTTACCATTGCCTTATGTATGTTGATAGATGCCCTTCTACAAAAATCGAAAATTGTATAAGACTTTAGTAAACCTAAAAGTGTTGTAGCTAATATCATTATAGAATAAAGTCTTATGGTAAATTTCTCAGTTGCCTCTGCTTCAGCCAATTCTTGTGTTTGTTGTGATGATGCGAGGTTTAGTTGAGTTATGTTTTTTTGAATGTCCAGAACGACTTGTTTTTCGTCCACCCTAAAAGCATCAAGAAATAATCAGAAGATGTATATGGAGTAACAAAATTGGGTTTACTTTACAGGTGTATAATAAAAAGACTTAATTTTGTGTTAATATTGTTTGACAGCGATGTGAATGTTAACCTGGATAGTTTTTGTCGAATGAATTTTAGTGTAGATAGATCGCTTCGAATCTGTTTCCCCTCGAACGAATTTGTATACGTGGAAACGTTCCTTAACACTGAAAATAATACTACCGCAGAGATAAACCGCAGAATTTTCATAACCAACAGATGCTGTTTTGGGATCAGTCTCCTCCTTAAATCCACAATTATACCGAGATACAAAAATAAAACCCTACAAAACAATAACACGCCCAGTCCTAACATATGGTTCAGATATCTGGACTGTAACAAAAAATAATGAAAACATGTTAGGATATTTCGAAAGAAAAGTACTAAGGCGAATTTATGGAGCAGTGAATGACAATGGAGTGTGGAGAGGGCGATATTACTTCGAACTTTATAGAATATGCGGATGGAACAAAATGCCCCAGCTAGAAAAACGGTCTTTCATAGAAACATTGGTTAAAGAAGAAGAGGAAGACCCATAACAAGGTTCCTTGATAACATCGATGAAGACATGAGAAATATGGGAATACGTACTTGGCGGAGAAAGGCGATGGATAGGTAGGACTGGAGAGAAATTCTTGACAAGACTAGGACCCACGCAGAGTTTTAAAGCCAGAATGATGATCGACTGCAAAAAACAAGACTACAACAATGCTCCTTGACACAACTTGTTATTGAACTTACCCTTCGCACGTACCAATTAAAATAGAGGGAATTAGTAGGTTAAAATCGGTCTCAAGAATAATTGGTAGGAGAATAAATTAAAAGATGATTTGAACTGGCTTGTAGACTCATACAGAAACCTGGAAACATTTCTGGCAAGATTTACATTGATGGTTAAGTTTGATATTTCGAGGTTAATGCGAAAAAGATCGGAATATGCCAAGTCAGTTTAAAAGAATATCCTTACCATTGTCAGATTGTCTTTGATAACATCTACTACAGTAGCAAAAGAAACACAAGAAACAAATAATTTCAGTCGTCAACTTATAAGCTCGAAAACCAACGTAGCATTAGAAAAAACTGATCAAAAAATCCTACAACTCTTAATAAAAATTCAAAAAACTAAAGTTGTGATTAAAAAATGTGAAATATATCTCGAATTAGTGGTTTTATCTATTAAAAACAAAAAAAAAACAAAAATTAATGAATTTTTAGATAAGTACCAATTCACTGCTAGTATATGACATTGAATATTTTTAATCTATATTTGAATGGACAATTTTTCATTCTTTAGTAAATTGTAAGTATTATTTACTTACCATCTTGTTAACAATTTATCTGAGTAACTCTCTGTTCCTTGCGTCAATCCAAACAAAACCACATTAAGAGTGATCAACAAAAATCCACCACCAAATTTAAAATATTTCTTGTAAACATCAAAATCTACTTCTCCCTTTTTATTAACTTCACTATAAACATTTGACTTTACACTATTCTGCTCTGTCTCAAAAAGTTGTTTCTGTTTGGCATCTCCGTTCATCTTAGGTTCATTTTCTTCTAGTACTTCTTTTTCTAAGTCGTCGTCTTCAACTACTATTTCTTCTATTTGTTTGATGACTTTTTCTGTCGGCTTGCCATTATATTTTATCAGACCTTCATTCATTATTATAACGACATCAGCTTCCTGAATATGGTTAGCTGTTTGAGATACTAGAATGCAGATTTTGTCTTTCAGATATGATTTGACACATTCGTTAAAAATGTAATCTTGTACATGAGCATCGAGAGCTGAAATAAATAGTAAATATGTATAGAGTGTTTCATCAAGAACTCAATATATTCCGAATAAGAATTTAGCAATAATAATAAACAGTCTACTTTTGTTTATCAGACGATTAATTGGCGCGGTTGCTGCGGATAACGAAAGAAAGTAAAATAAAAGCAGAAAATAAAAATTTAGTTTTACTAGAAGCTTTTAGTATGTAGCTTGTGTCTGCATCTTTGGTTTAAAAACGTGTTTCTTAATTGTTCACTACACGTCAAGCAGAAACAGTTTTCGATTTTCGCCCAGATATAAACTCGTCCTCTAAAACCCATACCTCCACTACATGGTAAAAATGGCATCGTCTACACCATAGATGAAAAAGCCGAGGTGGTAAGGTGGACTTTCGAGAAAGAGAGTGTACATTTAATTATCACCAAGATGAAGGTGTAGACTTTATCGAAGAAGTCTAGGAATAACAAGAAATGCTCGAAGAACCAGAGATAATTACACCTACATCTTCTCAAGAAATAAACGAGCTAACTAAAAATAGCTTACCGAGAAAATGCACCATACCTCCACTAAATGGTAAAAATGGCATCGTCTACACCATAGATGAAAAAGCCGAGGTGGTAAGGTGGACTTTCGAGAGAGAGAGAGAGTGTACATTTAGTTATCACCAAGATGAAGGTGTAGACTTTATCGAGGAAGTCGAGGAATAACAAGAAATGCTCGAAGAACCAGAGATAATTACACCTACATCTTCTCAAGAAATAAACGAGCTGACTAAAAATAGCTTACCGAGAAAATGCACCTGGTCTAGATGAAATTTCAAATCTGAAATTTCCTTTTTACTCTGAAGTATCTACCAGCAAAAACAATAGTACTTTTACCCAACATAACAAACGCGATCCTTAGATACAGGCTCTTCCCAAATCAATGGAAGGAAGCCCACGTTGTCATGATTCCGAAGCCAGAAAAGAATACCATTTTTCTGCAAAACTAGAGGCCGATAAGCTTACTGACAGCAGTCAGCAAGATCGTAGAAAGAATAATACTAAGAAGACTATAAGCTGAAACATATGAAATGGGACTAATCCCAGAAGCTCAATTCGGATTTAGAGAAGAACACTCTAGCGAATTACAAATACTTATACTGACATAATAACAAAAAACTGTACACAGGAGCAGCGTTGCTGGATGTAAGCAATGCCTTCGACAGAGTCTGGCATAAATATCTAATACACAAAATGAGACGCTACAGATACAGTGAGGACATAACGAGACTGATCTCTTTGTACTTGAGCAACTGAAGCTTCAGCATACGAGTGGGACAAGTACTATCCGAGCATGGAGCTCCGGAGGCTAAAGTGCCACAGGTGCTACCGCAGATGTTCCAAGAACATCAGGAACACTATTTAGTCTTTATGCACAGCGATTGCGGCCAAACACAAAAACTTAGAAGTAGCAGTCAACAATCTACAGACAGCATTGGGTAACATTGAAGAATGGTGCATCCAATGGAAAATAGCAATCAATTAAAAAAATACACAAACAATCATATTCAAAAAGAAAAGAGAAACCCTAGATTAACAGCTGTTATTGCAAAATAATCCCATCGAATTTAAAAGAAAAGTGAAATACAGATAAACAGCATCATACTTACAATAATTACATATGCATCTCTCGTATGGGGATACATAAGCAATTTAAATAAAAAGAAAATACAAGCAGCCAACAATAACATCCTCAGAGAAGCGGCAAATGTACCAAGATACGTCGCTAATGGCTTTCTATTTAGAGAACTGCAACAAGTAAGGGTGATAGATAAAATGACAGAAAAAGCTAAACTTAGGTTTATAGAATTAGAGAATCACCCAAGCCCAATCCAGCGAGAGATAATAAGATATAATGTGTTCCATCGATAAAAGCACACAAGACCAAAACAAGCAAATTCTGGCAAACACATAAAGTCTAGATAATTTATAGTTCTATCAACAGAAGAAGCCCCAGCACGCAGCACTGGAAATCTATTAATTAATGTTAATTTTTAGGACAACTGTTTGTTTTTAGACTTCTACATTCTGGCCCTCAAAATACACCGTCTAATGTTAGATTGAAATTCTGGCCTCTTGATGGTCTTCGACAAATCAAACGTATAATACAAAATTGTCTAACTTGTTACCGTTTTAATGCACAAGTCGCGTCTCAAATCATGTCTAATCTCCCGAGAGAAAGAGTTCAAATTGCACGTCCGTTTATAAACGTTGGAGTTGATTTTGGTCGTCAATTTCCAATCAAGACCTCTAAACTCAAGAGAGCTCCCCTTACTAAGGCTTAAATGGCAGTGTTTGTAAGTTTAGCTACTCGCGCCGTGCATGTAGAATTAATTTCCAGTCTTTCTACTGACGCGTTCTTATTGACTCTAAAAAGGTTCATCGCCCGAAGGGGTAATCCGAGTATCATTTTCAGCGATAATGGCACAAACTTTCTAGGTGCGAAAAACCAATTGAAAGAACTTTATGAGTTGCTTCTCAAAGGTAATACCTCTGAATCTATTCGCTCTTTCGCTACTTCATGTCAAATTCAATGGAAGTTTATCCCTCCACGCTCACCACACCATGGTGGTATTGGGGAAGCTGCCATAAAGAGCTTCAAATATCATCTCGTAAGAATAATGGGTAATTTCAATTTTACTTTCGAAGAACTATCCACTGTACTTTCGCAGATTGAGGTAGTGCTCAATTCACGCCCTATCTGTGCGCTCTCAGATGACCCGTCCGATTTTTCCCGATTTTTCCTTTCTTACTCCCTGACACTTCCTTATTGGATCTAACTTAATGTCTTATCCTGAATCAGATCTCTCTGATATTCAAGAAAATAAATTGTCTTTGTGGAATAAATGCACAAGAATTCAGCAGCATATGTGGAAAGTTTGGACCCGCGATTATCTTAATAGGCTACAAAATAGACCTAAATGGTCCACTCCTCAGGTAGGCATAAAGCCTGGTGATCTCGTCCTGCTTAAGGACAAAAACTCGCCTTGTCTGAAAGAAAAATTAAAGAGGGTGTTTTTGAGATATGAATTTAAAAAAAAAGCGATTTGTTTCGCATTGTGTGGCTTTACATGACGTCATATGGCAATTCTGACACCGGGATCGTGTTTAGCGGGAAATTTTACATTGGAAAACATATAGTAAATATTTGTATAAGCATATTTAGCTCGCTGTACTAAAAAAATCAGCGAAACACGAAAAAAAATTAATAAAAAGTGTGAAACTTCAATAGCGCACTACGGCCGCCATTTAAAAAATTAAGGTCTGAAAATTTGACAATCATGTTTTTTTGTCTAGTACAATATGTGTGTAAAATTTCAGTTAATTTGGAGAGGGTGAGCCCACCGACTTGTGTCGATTATTGCTGAAATTACCCAACAAGCTTCTTTTTTTAACGATTTCTGGAGTGGAAATCGAAATGTTAAACATTAGTTACTTAAAAATGTAATTCTCATTACTATCGTGGCTTAATCTCATTTAAATATAATATTTATCTTACAAATTGTTACAAATAGTTAACCAATACCTGTTAGAGAGTCATCCAGTAAGTATATTTCGCTTTCTTTGTATATAGCTCTTGCCAAGTTCACTCTAGCCTGCTGTCCTTTACTTAAATTTAATCCTTTATCGGTCACAATCGTTTCGTCTCCTTTTTCAAATAAACTTAAATCGTATTCCAACGCACATACTTTTATTACCTCTTTATACCTAAAAAAATAACAATGCTTTTATATAAATATTTAAATCGAGCAAAAATCTTTAGTTTCATCCGTTCCAAAATCATCATTATTTTAAAATCATGAATGTGTTGTTTGTGTGAGTCCATTTCAAATAGGTGAAGAAATAATAAATAAGACTTACTCACAATCAATTTAATTTAACTATCAGACGACCGGTTTCGCTTTCTACAATATGCAATGCATCTTCAGGTCTCGATACAAAGTTAAATAAATATATATATATATATATATATATATATATATATATATATATATATATATATATATATGCTTTATTGGAATAAATCTATCTCCTCAAGTACTTCCCGTTTACTGTCAAACAACTACAATAGCAGAATTGAGTTCTCCATTCAACAATACATAGTAGTTTCAACCATGTTCTACCATCCATTAATTAATAGAGTACCGGCATCATTTATTTAACTTTGTATCGAGACCTGAAGATGCTTTGCATATTGTAAAAAGCAAAACCGGTCGTCTGATAGTTAAATTAAATTGATTGTGAGTAAGTCTTATTTATTTTTCTTTACCTATTCATCATTATTTTGTTTATCTCCTACTTCTTTTACTAGAAATTATATCATTTTTGTATTTTATAATAAATGTCATTTCGGCGTTGAACGTATCCATATCCATCTAAATATATTTTTCTTTATTTCTGCCACGCAGATTATATCAATTTGAGCCCTTTTATTGACGTTATTTAATTATGGACAAAAAGACCTACGCATAATTCAAAACCCTTATTGGAACCAAGAAGGGAAAACGGGAAAATATTCCAACTCAAAATAGTACTAAAAGCGTTCATATACAAAGAGGTGTTCGACAAGGCTGTGCCATGTCTCCATTGCTCTTCAATTTGTACTCTGAATGCATATTCAATCACTAAACGATGTTGACATGGGTATAAAAGTAAAAGTTTAAATATATTAACATTATCAGGCATGCAGACGATACAATTCTAAGAGCAGACAAACTATAAGAAGGTTGACAAAATATACCAGAGAGAGTTAGTATTGCAAGGAAACGAATGTGACTGACAATAAATTTTCAAAAAACTAAAGAAATGATAATTAACAAAACCGATAAAAACTGTCGCAGAGACCTTAATAAAACCAAGTTAGAACAAGTTCATAAATTATGATACTGGGAGCAGTACTAACTGCGACAATGCGTGCGAAAAACACGATTAATACAAGCCAATAACATGTACAATAAATGGAAGCGAATAATCTATAACCGAAAACTAAGCTTAGACATGCGAATAAGAGTTATTTAACGCTACGCTTGGTCGGTCCTTCTGTATGGAGTTAAAGCATAGTAATTAAAATTATATACCATAAACAAAGAGTTAGAACCTATAACAACGACTAAGAAAGAAAAAAGAAAAGATTTAGTATAATATACTGAGAAATCACAAATATAACCTGCAACGAATAGTGATTGAAGGAAAAGTAGAAGGTCCAATAGAAGTTATCAGAAGAATAATGTCATGGCTTCGCAATATCAGGGCTTGAACGGGAATGTTCAACAATTACTAAATTTCGACAATAGTAATGGTAAATGTCTTGTACTAAAGTTCACGAGATGGAGAAGAAGAAGACTCATTTATAAAACTCGGTTTGTTGGGACCAAATTACATGAATATGAAAAAGACCAATGCATGAGTTAAAAGAAATAACCAGAGACAGAGATTTTTGGAGACTGACAATACACGGCTTCATAATGACCACTACACTCCCTCCTGCAGGTCAAGACTGAAGAGGAATATAGGGGATATATCAGATAGATAGATGACATCCAAGATACTGCAAGAAATCTATGTAAGCCTAAATCATCATCATCATCATTTGGCTATACAACTCTATGTGAGTCTTGCCCAAGTTTACTATTTCCCTTAATTGTTGACGGTCTTGAGCAGCTATTTCCCACTACTTTATTCCCATTTTGCGTAGAACTGCCATCGGGTCTTTCCCAGAATGTGGCGTTCAATAGTCTTTCGTCACTCGATCTTAGCACGTGGCCCGCCCATCTTATTCGGTTTGCCTTAATGTAGCGTACTATGTTTTCATCTCCATATACTGTCTGCAGTTCATCATTATGTCTTCTTCTCCATTCTCCTGTTGTCTCTACTCTGCAAGGCCCATAGATAGTCCGCAGTATTTTTCTTTCAGTATCAGTAATTTTGTCGTTTCCCGCTGGTTCATAGTTCATGTCTCGCTTCGATACGTCATCGTAGGACGAATTATTGTCTTATATACCCTAATTTTTGCTGGTATTGAGAGTATTTTTGACTAAAGTACGGTCATTAATGAGTAATATGTCCTGTTTCCTTCAATGATACTGGCTGCCACGTCTTTTTCATATTTATTTTCAGATGTTACGATCGCTCCCAGGTACTTGAATTCTTTGACGACTTTAAAGTTGTATTCATTGATTGTTACGTTTTATCTAACCCTTGGCCTTGGGTTCTTCGTAACCACCATGTACTTGGTGTTGGCCTCGTTGACCTTCAGACCAACTTCCTTGGCTACGTTTTCGAATAGGGTGAAAACTTCTTTTGCATCTCTAGTAGATTGTGCAATTTTTGATCCTTGGGCGGCAAATTCGTTTGTCAGTGTGGTTGAGCTTTGTGGTTTGTTGAACTTGGTGTAAGCGTAAATCATATGACATTAATCAGTTAAAAAAATGTCAACAAGTAGATGAATATAGTTAAAAATATATGATGATGTACGTTGTTGAACCTATCCTTTGTTTTTTACACAAATAGTAAAATGCTGGCTCCAACTGTAATAACACAATACTACGTCCATAATTCTATTAAACAAAATTGGCTTATCACCTAATCGAATTATTTTAACTTTTATTTCATGTAGTTCTTCTTTACATTTTATGTAGTACTCCTTTACATTTCATGTAGTTTTTAACCGTTCTTGTTATGTTGTATGCTTTTATGACAATAATATCAAATTTTATTTTTTTTTCTTTCTTAGTTTTCATCATCCTCAGACTTAAGGTGATATCGCGTAAGATGCGTTTATCTTCCTTTTTCCACCAACTTTGCTTGTATTCATCCTTTTTTCTAAAAGGAAATGACCTTAACATTTTTGAATTCATTTAAAATTTTGCTATATAACTACGAATACTGAAATACTTTTCTTATGAGAACTGGATCTATATTGATTGTTTTTCTCATTAAAGAAGCTCTTCTTAAATTCCGTGTGACATTTTTAGTAAACATAATTATTCAATGACTTACCTTGTCTCATTATACTTTTCTCCAAATAAAATATTCTGCTTAATAGAAGATGGGAACAGCCAAGGATCCTGTGATGCGTATGATATTCTTCCAAATGTTAACAGATGTCCGTCTGTCACTGGATAATCTTGTAAAAGCATTTTTAGCAACGAGCTTTTACCCGATCCCACTTTACCTGTGACTAATAACAAACTACTAGAGTTTATACTTAACGTAATATCTTTTAAGATGCATTTATCTTTAATATGGACCGTTGCATCTTTAACTTCTATTACAGGGCTAGCAGTTGGGGCATCGGATCCTATTTTTGGAGGTAGCTCTTCACCTAAAAAAAATTACATAACAAAAAATGCATTTCTCTATTTCTATAAATTCACGTAATGTCTTTTGATGAGATAATTATTTAAAATCTTTCATAAGTCAATTCAAGGTATTTATAACGGATTTATTGGTTGATAGAGAACTTTTTCTTTATGAAGAGGCTTTGTTTGGTTTTTTTTCATACCTTTTAAAAGCAAAGAAAGTCAAGAAGTTGTAATACTTATTAGTTTGATAGTATAAGGAATCAGGCAAATCGTGACATGTCTTCATTGTGTTGAAATAGAGCCTATATTCCAGATAATTTCTAGATGAGTTTAGGTGAGTACAAATACTAAAGCTATCGATAACCAATTATTCCGCTGGACTATTTAATATACTTGTTGATATGTACATAGGTTCATCAAGAGTAGACTTTGGTTCATCCTCACTCAATGCTTCACCAGCTAAATGATAATTTCAACGGCATCTTATGCTTTTCTCTTGATCTAAGCTCCTTATTTGGTCTTTTAAACAAATCAATGATATTAGAGCAGTATTTTGAGAGATGGGCTGCTAAAATAAGCGAAGTACAACTCAACGAATCATCAATCAGCCAATCGCGTCCACTGCTGGACATAGGCCTCCCTCAGTTCTTTCTAGTGTTCTCTACATTGGGTCGCTTGTAGCCAGTTTCCCGCTACACGTTTTATATCATCGGTCTATCTAGTCGGTGGTCGACCTCGGCTTCTATTATAGTTTCTGGGCCTTCATTCCATAATACGTCTTGTCCACCGTCCATCTTGTATTCTGGCTAAGTACCTTGCTCAGTTCCACTTAAGCGTCGTGGTTCTTTCCATGACGTCTTGAACTCCTGATCTTTGCCTGATTTGTTGGTTTGTTATGTGGTCTTGAAGGCTCACGTTCAGCATTGCACGTTCCATGGCTCGTTGTGTATACTGAATATGAATATCATGAATATGACCTAATTTGCCAAATGCTGCCCATGTTAGGCCTATTCGCCTCTGTATTTCATGTGTTTGATTGTCTCTGCTTATTTTGATTTCGTGTCCCAGATATTTGTAAGTGTCTGTTTGTTGTATGGTATTGTTGTCAACAGTTATATTTCCATTTATTACGAGATTTGTTATAAGTTTAGTTTTTTCAAAGTTTATCTTTAATCCTGCTCTTTCAGATAGACTTTTAAGCGAATGCATCATAGAAACTGTATCATGTAAGTTATCTGCGATTAATACAACATCATCTGCAAATCTTAGGTGATTTAATCTTTCTCCATCTATATTGATGCCCATATTTTACCATTGAGTGCTCTTAAATATTGACTATAGGTAGAGCTGCCCTGAACAATTTTGGTGAAATATTGTCTCCTTGTCTAACTCCTTGACCTAAGCTGAATTGTTCTGTGTCTTCATGTAGTCGTATACTTGATGTAGCGTTCTCGTAGATGTTTTTGATTAGTGTCGTGTACCTGTAATCTATTCGGCTTTGATTTAGGGCTTCCAGTATTGTTTCAAACTCTACAGAATCAAAAGCCTTCTCGTAATCGACAAATGCAAGAACCAGTGGTATGTTGTACTCAATGCACTTTTCTATTAAGAGCTTTATGGTATGCAAATTATCATTTGTGCCATATCCTACCCTGAAGCCTGCCTGTTCTTTGGGCTGATAGAAATCAAGTTTAGGTGTTAGCCTCTTTGTTAAGATTTTCATAAAGAGTTTGTACATATGTGTTAAGAGGCTGATGGGTCTATAATTTTCTAATTTAGTAATATCGCCTTTTTTGTGTAACAAGACTATTACTGCATTGTTACAGCCTTTTGGAATCGTACGCGTTATTAAACAGTTTGCTTACTGATTTTAATAACATTTCTCCTCCTGCTTTTATTGCCTCGATAACGAGTTCATCATCACTAGGCGATCGCTGTTAAAACTGCTCTTACTTCTGACACAGTAATGGGTAAAAGTATTTCCTATCCCTGATTTATGAGTCTTTACTCGTGTCGGGAAATTGTCTTGTGGTCTTTGGCTGGTATAGAGGTCTTTATAAAACTCTCTGGTTATTTTCAGAATGTTTTGTTTATATGTTGTTGCCTTTCCGTCTTTATCTCTCAGCTTGTGTATATTTTTTATTTTGTGTGTTTTCTTTTCATTACCTTTAAACCTTTGTTCTCTTCTACTGTTTGAGTAATTACATTAGTATTATATCTTCTTACATTTTTTCTAATTTCCGCTGAAATTCTTTTATTTAGTTTTTTATATTCTTCTTTGTTTCCCTTTTCGTTCTCGCTTAGGTTTCGTCGTATTTCCATGAGAGCTTTTGTACTTTTACTAATCTTTTCACTTTTGGTGTCATTTTTTTTGCAAAATTTGAGTTATGCGTTTCTAACCGAGTCTGTTATTAATTTATTGTGATCGTCGATACTCAGAGGTTTGGGATTATTACTCTGTAAAGTTTCGGCTATATTTTTTATGTATGCTTCTGGATGATTTGGTGAATTCCAAACTATGCGTTTGCATCTGTTTATCATCTTTGCTCTTTATTTTTGTATATTTATCGTTACTCTAGCTCTTACTGGTATGTGGTCTCTTCCTACTGATAGTTTATTGAGTACAGCGACATCTTGAATAATTTGCTTTTTGTCTGTTATTATATAATCATATTCGCTCTTAGTTCTTCTAAGAATTGTCTAGAATCTAGAAAATGTTCTAGAATCTGAACATTTTCTATTCTGTCTCTTCTTAAAAAAGGTGTTCATTGCATACAGTTTGTGTTGCAGTAGAAAGTTGGTAAGCATTTCGCCTCTTTCGTTTCTTATTCCGATTCCAAAATCTCCGATTGCCACTTCTTGTTCGTCCTTTTTCCTTCCAAGTTTCCCGTTAAAATCTCCCATTATCAGATTGTAATGAGCCGGTTCCTGCTTTTTCGCTCTTTCGATTTCCTCATAGAAGGTTTCGACAATTTCATCTTCGTAATGGCTGGTGGGGGCGTATACCTGGATTATTTTCAGATTGTATCTCTTATTTAGTCTCTACAACTCAACTAATGCATATTTTTAAAACAAAACTGCTTGGATTAATGACAAATATGAATATAATTAAAAATGAAGATACCATTATGATAGGAATAGATGTGCAACGCCAAATAAAAATTACCAAATGAAAAATTGCTGAGTGTCAGGTGCCTGCACGAGGTAGGAGAAGAGGCCAAAAAAATATATGGTGATAGATAGATAAAGACGATATTTCGGTAAGGGTGATCAGTATTAGTAAATCCCAAGATAAACCATCTAGGATAATATAATGAGAAAAGTCAACCCCTAAAAAAAAGGGGGAGCTACAAAGGAGATTATTTTGCACAGTATATCTTATAAAGAGGAGAAAATCTTTGTTTAAATAAAACAAATCAAAAATTTATTACAAAATTAAAATAGAATGTACTTATTTAATAAACACTTACCTTTAATAACTTTATTGATCCGTATAATAGCTGAATATAATTCAGCTCCTCTTCCAATTCCGTAAGGTATAATAACACCCAACGAATGTTTTAGGTCCTTGAATATTGATAGTAAGTAAAAAACCAATTCCGCCTCGATAGGATAGCCCATCCATATACAAGATATTATCAAAACATAAAATCCCACTTTGGAGAAAAGAATGCCTAGGATGACGATAACAATTTTCAAGTAAAAGGCCAGGAGCATGCGGTTTATTTCTGCTCTAAAATAAACAAAAGCTTCAAAAATATTACTACTTACTGAAATATATTGAAATGTTTAGTTATTTTTTTTCATTAGACGAATTCTTTCCTACTTTCTTCATTCAAACATTTTCGTCTGATTATTTTTTTACCTAGACTTGTCCTTTTCTTTGACTGGATATTATCTGAGCTTATTGTCACTTAACATATTCTAATATATATTTTAAGCTTACCTTGTATTACCTTTTAAATGATAAAATAATCAGAAGAAAGAAATGTCAAAGAAATTAAAGTTGCACCCGTCAATATGATATTTAAACCAATACCGTAACCTAGCGAAATAAGGATTTTAATAAAATTACAAAGCAAAGAAATAATCAACAAAATGCAAGCACTAAAAAGATATTTAATAAATAAAGAAGATGTGAAATAAAGAAGACACCAACTGAGGTGGTTCGCATACTTAGTAAAAATGAAAGACCAGACACAAGTAAAAAGTTTTTTCAAACTTGGAGGAATAAAAAGAGATCCAGAGATGATTCAGCAAAACGTGAGATGTAGTGATGGCGGTATATTAATGATGCTATAATTTTCTTATACAATATTAATGAAATACTCTCTGAAGTTAAAAAAACCGTGAAATCTTTATACTAGGAGATTTAAAAGACAGAGTAGAGAGAGAAGAAAATAAGAGAGTTGTAGGAAGATGGGGAACAAATAATCAATGACAACAGAATGCGTCTTAGAGATTTTTGTGAAACAATGTCTCTCAAAATTATGAATGGATTTTCTCAACATAGAGACATCCACAAATTTACATGGATACAACCTACTAGGAATCTGCGCTCTATAATCTACTATGTCGAACGTCAAATTCAGATACAGAATATAGAAAAGGGACAAGAAGTATACATCGCCTAAATATAACCTAGAAAGCTTAAAAGAAGATTCAACATAATTTGATGCCCTCAAAAGATCGAAAAATATTAAAGCAGCACGGCCTGGTGACATCCCAATTGAGTTGCTAAAGTATGGACCAAAAATATTACATGATATGTTGGTTCAACTATTTAACAAACGCTTAAAAGGACAAAATATCCCTGATGATTGGAATGTTGGATATATCAGCTCAATATTCAAGAAGGTGGATAAACTCAAATGCTCTAATTATATGAGAATAACAGTTATCAGCTCAGTGGAAAGGTTGTATGGTCGAATAATGAAAAAAGAATAGAATCAGAATACAAAGACATGGAAGAACAAAATGGATTTCGTGCAGGAAGATAGTGCACTGATGGTATATTCGTTCTGCAGCAGGTAATCGAAAAACGCAAAGCAAGGAATCTATCTACCTACCTATTGTTTGTAGATTTAGAGAAGGCATACCATACGGTACCTTTGAAAAAACTGTTTCAAACATTGACGATAGTAATTCTCAGTAGCGAGTATGTGGATGCTATCGCAAACATATTCAAAAATGCAAGAAGTATCGTTAAAGAAGGAAACTTTATATCTGAATCATTTCCAATAACAAAGGGGCTTAAATAAGGATGTTGTCTATCTCCGACCTTATTTAAAATATATATTTAATCATCGCTAGAGCAGTGAAGGAAACAAGTATCCAGAATAGGAATAGACATAGGCGGTGGTAAATGTCTAACAATTTTATTTTTCGCAGATGATCAGGTAATCGTAGCGAATGATGAGGAAGACATGGACTACATGTTTAGAAAATTAAAAAAAGAATATGAAAAATGGGGTCTCAATATAAGTATCTTAAAATAGGAGATGAAGAAGAAGATCCAGAGTTATAAATTAGAAACACAAAAACGTGCAATAAATATAAATATCTCGGATCTACAATATCTCAAGAAGGCACTACCAAAAGAGCCATTATAAACAGAACGCAGCAGGAAAAAAACTGTAAACATTCTAAACTCTCTACTATGGTCTCAAGATATTAGACAAGAAACGAAATTGACAATCTATCGAACCTTGGTAGAGCTTATTATGACTTATGGGGTAGAAGTTTGGCAGATCACGAAAAAACATAGAAAAAGAATAGAAGTAGTAGAAATGGATTTTCTAAGGAATCCGTGTGGTGTGGTATTCAAAAAAGATCATATCATGAATCAAGATATTAGAAGGATAACAAAAACTGTATATTCCAGTGTAGACAAAATTGAAACAAGACAACTAGTGTGGTATGGTTACGTGAAGCGAATGAATGAAGATACATGGCTTTAAATTACATACCACAACAAAGAAGTAGAAGGAGAAGGCCTTCACTTGCCTGGGAAGAAAATGTACGACACATAATGAGAGATAGAGCCATCGAAGAAGACGAAAGTATGGACAGAAAACAATAACGGTCAAAATGTGAGAAGCAGTAGAGGCTGTAGGAACCTCGCTTATAGAGAGATAAGTTTCTTAATTTTGAATAAAACTATTAATTCGAAAGCCATTTTATCAGTTGTCAGTTGTTAGTGCTTTAAGAAATTAGGAATTTCTCCAGTCTTGTTTCTTCTTGTTATTGTAGATTGAATAAATAATATATACCTTTACAAAAATACTTACAATCTGGACTGATTAATTTTCTCTCTAAAATACTCTTCCCATTTATACATTTTTATGATCCTAATGCTTGATAAAGTTTCTTGAATGGTCTGTAATCGTTGATCAGTCTTCTTTTCAGCAGATAATCTGAGTTTGCTTACATATCTTCCAAGAAGAACTAAAAGAAGGTAGTATTGTTATGTGAAATCAAATATAATTTGTAGATTATTACAAAGGATGTACTATAAGTTTTGAGTAAGGCAATAACATTGTAAAAACCTTAAAGGTGCCATTTGTATCGTAAAATTAAATGTCACACTTCCTGTGTTATAAAAATCATCTCAATCACAAGATTCAAGTTGTATATATTTTTATGCGTTTGTCATTGTTCACTTTTCATGTGGATCCACACCATATGGAACCACTTGCTACGATTGCGTCAAAAAATGTGGGCCAATCACATAGTCTTCAACAATACCACCAAAAAATTTAGAGACCAATGAATTAGATAGATAGATAGATAGTTTATTTAACTGTAAGTTACAACTAGGTTTACAGCAAGTCAAAACTAAAATTATAAATATTAAATATTACAAAAAATGGAAGCATACATTAAAAATACATTAAAAATATTTAAAACATTAAAATACTTAAAAAACGTACAATATAGAAATATAATTAAAATAATAATAAATTTGGTTATGTTGCAGCTTAGGCATTCACAGATACATCCTCTTAATATTCACCTAATATATAAGGACACATTGTCACTAGGTACTCTTTGACTTGGTTTTTAAAAGCTGTAGTTGAATTAATGTTTTTAAATTTTTAAGGAAGTTGATTATACAGTAGTAAACCACAGATAGTAGATGACTTCCTGCTTATTTCTAAATGTCGATAGGGGACTACAAACTGTCTCTTATTTCTTGGGTTGTGTGAGTGAATATAACTGTTACATAAAAAAGATCTTTTATTTTTATGAATTAGTATCAATAATTCCAAAATGTAAATTCCATACACTGTTAATATATTCAAATCTCTAAATAGGTTTTTACAAGACCAACCATACGGAACACCTGCTATACATCTGACAATACGCTTTTCGGCCTTGAAAACGTCCTTTACACTAGAAGAACCACCCCACTCGTTATACCGTAACTTATTGTCGATTGTACCTCAGCAAAATAAAAAAGACGAAGGTGTTGCAGGCTAAGTATTCTACCCAAATTTCTCAATTGATAACATTTAGAATTGAGTTTTTTACATACATTCCAACAATGAGTTTTAAATCATAAATGAGAGTCGAAAGTCACTCCTAAAAACTTCACATCACTAACTCAAAATATCCTCACCATTAATGGAAATACTTAAACCAGGTTTAGTAGAATTTGAACGTGATGTAAATGATAAAAATTTAGTTTTGTGAACATTGAACAGGAGCGACTGATTACTGGACCAATCAGAGAAGGTCTTAAGTGAGTTTGTTATTTTATCTTATAAAAAATTTATGTCTTTATCGCGATATAGCATTGTTGAGTCATCCGCATATACTGATACAAATGCATCAGGCATTACGTGTGTTAATATACAAAATAAATAATATAGGGCCCAATATGGAGTCCTGTGGTACTCAATTCTTATTAATAATCGAATCAGACATTGAAATATTGAAGTTATTTTTCACTTTTACTATTTGGTGCCGGTCTTTCAGATAGGAACCAAACCAACTACGGGCAACTCTCCTAACACCATATCTGTACAATCTATCGAGGAGTACACTGCACACAATAAAATTCACGACTGAGATCACAAAAAATGGCAGTTGGATTTTCACTGTTCTCAATTGAGAGTAAGACTTCATCATAAAAACTGTTAATGGCTGTGGAAGTAGAAAATTTATTTCGAAATCTATGTTGATGCTTTGTGATAATTTGGTTGATATCTAAAAAGAGTAGAAGTTGTTTTAGCCTTGCATATTCAATAATCTTAGATATGACAGATGGAACAGACAATGGTCGAAAATTTGACATTAATTCAGGATCACCTTGTTTTAATACCGGTGAAATGATAGAAGTTTTCGGCATATTGGGAAAAACACCAGTATTGAAAGAAACATTTATAATGTGAACCAGTGGTGTCAAAATTTGAGACGCTCAAAGAGTCAACAATAATTATCGGCGATCGGTGGGTCGGTTCACAGCAAATTGGTCTACCTTAGCCGCTATTGCAACATTGCAAATTCCTATAACATGGCTTGTGATATAGAGATGGTTTTGAATAATGACCATTAATTATAAACAGTATATCATATATTTTATTACTTACTTTGAAGTGGCAGAACGCTCAATATAACCCCGATTCCCACGAAGGATATCACACCTATTTTGGCATACAACAGGAAACAAATTACACATGTTTGGACTATAGCGATCCACAAATCGTTCACAATCCACACAGATTGTTGGAATGAATATACATCCTTGGTAATCAGAGTCACTATATTTCCTAGCGTTATTTCTGATACAGATGAAGGTGTTAACTTAAGAGCCTTTCTATACAGTAACGACGAAAACGCAGTCTTCACTTCAACGCCAAGTTGTTGGACCCAGATTACGTAGTTGTGAATGTAGATGGTATAAACTAGATGTAAGATTAAGACTAACGCTGCATAGTAATAGGCTTCATTCTTTGTAATTGTCGTTTGGCCAGGCTTAAAGAATGACACTAATTTACTAAGTGCCCATGGGTCAACAACGCTAAAAAGTATAAAGTATATTTTAAAAGTTATGATTCGTAATATAAAATAAACATTTAGTGTTCCAGAATTTTATTGTTTGGTTCAGATATATATCAAAAAAATATATGCATCCTCTGGATTACAGATGAAATTATAGACATGGTGGAAGAAAAAAAATGTTAAAGGGATTGAAGTTCCAAAATAATTAATGGATGAATTAAACAGAAAATAAAACAGACAAAAGCTAGATGGAAGTTAAAAACTGCGAAGAATCAGTTCTGCTAGAATACTTTTAAAACACAACCTCCTTCCATTCTCATAAAAAGTTTAAAGAAATAAATGCTTTAAGGAAAATTTTCAAAAATAACAAAAAACTCCATTAAAAAATCCAAAAGTGTTGTTTATGTTGTCCAAAGCCTTATTACTCCAGTCGTCAACGACCAAAATGCCTGAACCTCTAAAAATAAGACTAACAAGCTAAATAGCTCTACGGTAAAAATTCGATATCTTTTGATTCAAGTGACCTATCGACAAAAATCAAGATGGGTTTTAAAGGTAAAAATACGGTAAAAACAATTAAAGTTTTAACCAAACCATAACATAACCTTAAAAAATGAACATTCATAGTAAAAATTTTAATCCTATGATATTTTACCTTACAAATTCACGAACAACAAATAATACTAATTGCACAAAATGAATGTTTATAACCAAAAATCCTTATTTATTCTTCAAACAATTATAAAAACCAATATTTAAAACTTCTTATGGAACAAATCCAAAATCTTAATTGAGAAAACCAATGAATACAACCTTCCGCTGTACTTAGCATTCATAGATTATGAAAAGGCTTTCGACAGCATTGAACACTGGTCGGTTGAAGAAACTCTGGTCAGTAGTAGAATAGATTCAAGATACCGATAATTGATACATGATATTTACCAAAACGCAACCATGACCCTAATTCTGGACGACAAATTAATAACGGATAATATAAAAGTTAAACGAGGAGTCCGACAAGGTGATATAATTTCACCTAAACTGTTTACCTTGACCCTCGAAGACATAATAAAATCAACAGATTGGGAAAACAGAGGAATATGTATTAACGGAAAATACCTAAATCACCTTAGATATGCGCATGATATACTCCTGATCTCCTCGGAACGACAAGAACTGGAATTAATGCTGAATGATCTTCATGAAAAATCACTGCAAAAAGGCCTAAAAATTAACTTCAACAAAACAAAAGAAATGACAAACACGGAAGACCAAGAGGCAATAAAAATACAAACAGAAAAAATAGAACAGGTAAATGAGTACATCTATCTAGGACAAGCAAACAGAGCTAACAGAGAAAATCATACAGCCGAAATATCGAGACGAGAAAGAATTGGATGGGCAGCGTTCGGCAAACTTTCTTACGTTCTAAAAAATCAAACAATCCCTCTATACTTACGAAGCAAGGTATATAACTATAATACCGGTGCTCACCTACGGAGCACAGACATGGACATTTACACAGGCCAATTTGGATAGGATAAGGAAGGCACAAAGAGCAATGGAGAGACAACTGTTGGGTATATCACTTAAACATAGAAAACGTAACCAGTGGATTAGAACCAGAACAAAGACAGTAGACGCGATAGAATAAGCAGCAAAACTGAAATGGAAAAGGGCTGGACAGAATGAACGTCTCCAAAACGGACGATGGAACAATGCCATCGGAAAGTGGCGTCCATATAATGCAAAGAGATCAAGAGGCAGACCACAGATGAGGTGGAAAAATGACATCAGGAAACAAGGAGGTTCCATATAGCAGAAAACAGCTCAAGATAGGGAAAGATGGAAAGAACTGGGGGAGACCTATATCCAACAATGGAAGGATAGAGAATAGGTTAAAAAAAAATGGAACAAATACACACAAATTAGAAATGTCTGGAATGGGTTTTAAAATGCCCGCCCATTGTAACATCAGAGCTTAGGTAATCAATTGTGGCTGATATCCGGAATGCAGTCAAATATTAAGCAAAAATATTTTTCATAAACAGTTAATTATATTATTCTCTACCTTATATTATTGGCAACACTTTCAAAGAACTCGTATTTTATATAAAAAATATGAGATTGTTCCTTTCTAATCCGCTTAGTATGTTGTTTTAAAAAGAAGAATATTACAATACGATATAATTTTACTGTGTTCAACTTTCCAGTGAATGGATTACTAAAATCGCAGTTTTTTTTAGTTTCTAGGAATGTACTCCCTTGGAATAGAATAGAACCGAAACGAATAGAATAGATCAAAAGCAAAGTTTGTACGTGCCTGTACCATCTTACTTGTTGTCAGATTCTGATGTCTTCTGTTATTCTATATTTAACGCCCATGATTTTCTGAATTATCTAGTTTCTTCCTCTGTTTCCTCCACTAATCGATTTCTGTTGCTTTCAAAATCTTTATATATTGCTGAATAGCTTGTCTTCCCTGGTTATTTTTGTGTTTAATCTCTAAATCCAAATTGCCGTCATTGGTTATCTAGATATTTATACATTTCACAGTGATTTATTTATTGGTGTTTCTTTTCCAAAATTAGATTTTGTTGTTCTCCTCCTATATTCATGTACTCTAACTTTTTTCAAATATACTGCTAAGCCCCTTTTCTTATATTCCTTAGTAAATTGTGTGATATATTCTAGATCTCCATAGTCCTGAGCCAATACTATTTGGTCATCTGCAAAGCATAGTTTTTATAATGTGGTGTTGTTTAGAGGGACTCCCATACTACTAGATTTCCTATGCCACGTCTTCAGCGCTTGCTCAAAGAAGATCTTAAACAAAGTTGGGGACAGACAGCATCCATGTTTGAGTCCATTGTCTTACACAAACTCTTTAGATATCTCTTAGTCTATCTTTATTTTGCTCGTTTGCTCGTTATGTTTTTATAGTTTCTATAGTTCTTGCACTGCGTTGATTAAAGTTACTTTGATGTTTGTTTTTTCTAAAGCTTCCCGTAATTTTTTTTGTGATACACTGTCATGTGCTTTTAGAAGATCTACGTACAGAAGTTGTTCTCCCTCTATTTTTTTTATTAATTTTCCGTAAACTCTTGGGATTAGTGCCTAATACTGCTATTTCTTGTTAGTTGTCACAAATGTCTTTAGTTGGTTCCTCTTTTAGAAGTTCTGGTGGGACCTGAACCTGATGACCGATAGGTAACAAATTCTCAGAATTGTTTAAAATAAACTGATGCCTGAAGCATAAAGGCTGTCATATTCCCATTTTATGGGACCAATTAGAACTTAGAATTACTGACAGTAAATGGACCAAAATTACTACGAACGTGCGAGACGTGGACACTGATAAAAGCAGTGGAAAGAAAACTCACATGTTTTGAGAGAAAAATCCTCATAAGAATCTTTGGACCCTATCATAACCCGAATACTAACCAATAGCGAGTGAGAACAAATACCGAGGTAAAGTAGATGTATAGGGCTAGTGATATAGTTCAAGCGATTAAGTCACAACGTCTAAGATGGACTAGACAAGTCAACAACTCCCTAATAATCGCCTTACCAAGTTGATCTGGGAGGAATCCCCGTCATAGAGAAGGCTCTTCGTGCGGCCACGAATGCGATGGAGGTATAACGTATGGTCAGAGTTAAGAACAATTAATAATAACCTAATTATCATGGACAAACGTTCGAGATGGAAGCGGGTTATACAGTCGACTTTTCAAATTTTATGTCCCCCTGAAATCTGTCTTTATGATCTTTGTGGACATCTCTTTATGATATTTGTGGAAGTAGGGGAAGGGGAGGCACATATGGACAGCGGCACAAGTAGACAGGTGATTTTTTTCCGTCTAGATTTCTGTTCGAGTAGTTTTAAGTCACTCTCCTAGGTGGCACTAGTGATATAGTTCTATGCGAAGAAATAAATTTAATGTCAGTTGCCATTTGTTTGTGTCACGAAGTTGTGTTACTTTTGCCGCGTAAAAGTTAATAAACAGTTTTTTAGAGATTATAATATTATTTAGTGACATTTTGGTACCTCTAGACATCAGGTATACCTGATATCCGGTACTTTTGAAAAACTATCCATACGGGGCAGACGTTGTCCACTTGTACCCCAAATATCTTTTTTTTACCTTATAGCTGAAAATAACGCTGAAAACCTACACCAGAAAAATTGATAGAAGTAATATTCCTGAATCGTTCCTATTCCTAGGTAGTAGTTCAGGCCATTTGTAATATGAAACATAGTAACGGATCAATCCGAAACGTAGCAGAGAGATAGGGATTGAAGAAGATATGAATAAAAAAATATAAATGTTACAGAAATATCCGAAGTAAAGTTTTCATCAAAATATACAACATAGCAGATTTTTTTATAAGGACGAGGGCAGTCTAGTAAATTATATTCTTCAATCTTCGAAGTTACAGTATGGATTAACCTTCTTTCAAATTCGAACATTCGCATATGAGTATATTCTGAAGCTTGAAAAAAATTATGGTTCGGAAAATCATTTTGTTGGAATTGAGTGGTTGAAAGGTTTCATGAAGCGTCACAATATTTTATCTTTGCGAAAACCGAGTCTACGAGTCTAGTCAGAAACATCAGTTGTAATAAAGTTAACGTAGATATGTTTTTAATAACCTAAAGACTGTTTACAAAACGTACAAATTTACTAGTAATAAAATTGTAAACGTAGATGAAAGCGGAGTAAACACTGTTCTGCAAATGCCAAAAGTGGTCGCAAAATCTGTAAGGAAGTAGGACAAGTAGTTGAAGCAGAGAGAGTTGAGCAAGTGACGTTTGTTGCAATAATGATTGCACCTGTTTATATCATCTCATGAGTGTGATTTAAAGAGTCATTTCTGACGGGAGCTCCAGAAGGCAGCATTGGTATGTCCTCTTCAAGTGTTTGGATGACCAAAGAGTGATTCCTCGAAGTTGTAAAGCATATTAAAAAACATGCATGCTTCTAATGCAAAACCCTACGTTAATACTTTTGGATAACCATAATACGCATGCAATGTTAGATAGTATATGACATTGTAGGGTAAATGGTTTAGTACTGTTAGCGTTTCCTCCACACACAACACATCGTTTAAAGCATCTAGATCTATGTGTATTTGGCCCTTTTAAGGTTCATTGTCGTGAACCATTCAACGTGTATATGTCTACACATCCGGGAAAAGCTATAACAATTAATGATATTGCAAATCTAACAGCTCCATCCTTTGACGAAGCATTTAATAGAAAAAACATTACTTCTAAGTTTTTAAACACTGGTTACTATCTCTTTAATAAAAATATTTTTTCCTCAGAAGATTTCGTAGAAGCTGAAATTACGGAAGTCAGTGATGTATCGCAGCGAGATACCACAACTAATGATTGTCTAAATTGCAGTACAATCTCTAATTCCGAAATGCCGTCTATATCATCATCGGCAAATGTTTAACTACAGGTCAACAATAATTATCAACCTGTTTTAACTACTGAGAAACAAAGTTGCAAAATTGTAATTATTTCCGATGTAAAACTTACTCCGGAACAAATTCGTCCATACTCAAAGGAGAATAAGTTCTAAGAAAGGAAGAAAATTTCAACCATTCTCACCGCTACACCAGAAAAAAATAGATTAGAAAATGAAATAAGAGAAAAAGAGAATTACGACGAATAATCAGATGATCGTCTTATGGAAGTTGAGACTGAAGATGGTAAAGATTTTGGATTGGATCTTACGAATATACAGAAAGGGGATTTTGTTCTCATTAAATTTGCTACAAAAAAACACTCAAATTCTTTGTTGGTCAGATCGAAAAGGCACTAGAAGAGTCAGAATTTTTAGTAAATTTTTTAAAAATGACGCCGCGACAAGATTTTATATTTACAGATCAGAAAGATGAGAGTCATATTTTTGCAAACGATATTATGAGAAAATTGCCAGCTCCTGAAAAAAAATTGGGACAGCAAGATCCAGTTTCTTTTTTAGGTTTTTTGTTAATTTTCATGGGTATAATATGGGATAATTCAATGTATTATGTTAACTAAATATTAAAGGGAGGCACATGTGGACATCTATTATGTCGACTACTATGTGCACATTACATATACTTGGAATTTAATGCACGTGCCCTAAATAAACTAATTACTGCCAAATTTAAATGTACATAAAGACTCACAAATATGTGAGTCTTACATTGAAGAAGCCGATACATTACAATGAATCTCATTTTGCGGTATAATTTTTTTTTTGAAATTTGTCCACATGTGCCCCACTCACCCCTGTATGTTTTTTTATATTTTTCTATAGTGTTTATTTTTTCCTATTTACTTACTTATTTATTATTATTTAAAAAAAATGTTTTTTAAATGTATTTGTCATTTTCAAAAATGCGATAGCCGCCAATTTTGCCTAATAAATCATAATATTTGCTAACATTACTACGATTTACATGTTGTTTTGTATTGGCCAGCACCACTTCCAGACAAACCTTGAAAATTCATTTCCTGCAACATAATTCAGTAAATGGTAATCGACTAGAGAACAAGACGGTTTAGAAGATATTAGAAATCAGGAAAGTAAACTACGAAATTACCGGTCAAGTTAATTCTCTCATTACTCAATTGTGGATCTTAAGTAACAACCACCACGTGCTCCAATTTAATTTATTTAATATTAAACATTTGCTTAGTTTAAAATTTGAATTAAATAGATAGTTTCCGAGAAGACTGTACCAAGAAAATTACCTTCAAGATTAAAAAGAATCCATTTGAAATTGCCATTTTATAAATTAAATATCATAAATGTTAACATAGAAGATAATCAGCTTCGTAGAAAAATTACAGAAGATAAATTATTCAAAGGAACAATTGTATCGTTTGTTTCAATAAAAAAAATATGATACTTATTCTTGGCCAATGGTAAAAAGTTGTTCTTACATAAATGTAAAGTAATAATCTATTCAAAATCATCATGATCGAAGGGATTTTTTAAATTATGATAACAAAATAAATGTATATATGTTATATAAGTGATAAAATGCCAAAATAATAAGACATTATTGTTTTACGAATTTTTTTCCTTCAGTGCTAACTTTTCCTATTAAATTAGTACGGACGAAAATAGGAGATGTGGCACTAAATACTACAACCTCTAAAATTAAAAAATTCAAAAACTACTTTACAATTCTCTAAAACAGCGTTTTCAAACTTATTTTTTTGTGGCCCGGTTATTTTTGTGCTTATCCTTCATGATCCACTAATTTTTTGCATACCCCGGTGTACAACAAAACATATTTAAATATTTATTATAGTTTTATACATAATATAGAATCATTATTTAATACAGAATCATTAGTTTAAACAAAAATGTAATAAAACAAAATAAAAATCAAATACTTAACTAATGAGAAGTATGCAGGTGTTTCTGGTCAACAGAAACTTTGTGTTTGAAGGAAAAGATGTCAGAAGATTAACAGGTCTGGTTCTACTTTCAAAAGGTTCCTTTATTTATTTTCGAGAAAAACCGATGTTGAAAACATAGCCTTACACTTATAGATTGTAACAAAAGGAATTAGAAACTTTTCTGCTAAAACTGAAAACTGGTTTTTTGTCAAATATGTCTTTGAATGCTCTATCACACGATAGTTCAATTACTGAGTCAATATCTAAATTTGGAAGTCCTGTCTAGATCCTATGTCTATCTACGTGTATTGTAAATGGATTCCTTATCCATGCTTTTATTGCTGTGGGTGGAGGGGGGATATTCCCTCAGATTTGCCTTCATTCCTAGCAGGTTTGGTTTCCTTTAAAAGCCGCTGAAATCTTATCTGGCAATGAATTCACGTTACACTCTTTTTGTAGTTCTGTTAGCTTTGTACTTTCGTACTTCCGCATTAAGTTTTTTGTTGCAGCTTCTACCTTCCCTTGTACTTAAATTACAGTTACATTGCTACCTTGTAATGCCATATTTAAATTGTTCAAGAAGTAAAAAATATCACAAAGATAGGCTACCTTGATTAATCATTGACATCATGAAAACTGTCTTTTAATTGAAATAATTCATACCTAGCCGTTGATGGATGTTGTTCTAAGAATAATAAAATTTCTTCCTTCAACTCAAGTCTTTTTAAAACATTTCTTTTTCCATGTTCGCCTTCCATTTTTTTGCACAAAGTAGAAAATACTCTTTAGTTCAGTGGGCAAGATTTTTTTTAGCTAATGTCTCTCTGTGGATGCTACAATGCACCCAAACATATTCTGGTGTTACGGTTTTAATCCTCGGAAAATGTCCAGTACAAGCTCCTGCCATTGCTTGCGCTTGATCACTACTTAGTCCCACACATTTATTCCATTTAATTTCATTGCCATTTAATCAATCAGATTAAATATTTCTTCAGCCGTTGTTTTTACAGACAGAGGTTTACAAAATATAATGTTTTCCTGAATATTATTTTCAAAACTGTATCTTATAAAACATATTAGATTAGCATTATCTGATATGTCTGTACTTTTATTAACTTGCAAGGAAAAATAGTTACACCTCTTTAAGTGACCTAAAATAGTTTCTTCAATATTATCTGTTATCTCCACAATCCTACGCTTTATTGTGGTTTTTGATACAGCCAGCGAATCCACTTGCTTTTCCTGCTTTTTATCACATATCAGAAATGCTACTATTTTCATTGCTGGAACTATTAATTTCTTGGCAATCGATTATTAGCAATTTATTATGGCCTGAATTGGATGAAGTAGATCAACGAAATACGGTTTCAAGAGGACAGCGAAAGTGATAGCTCATACCAAATTAAACATTTTGCACAATCGATTTGAAGGCATGGTCATCTCATGTGATGTGACGTAAATAACACGCAGTTTCGAATTTACTTCATGATCAAAGAAATTTTTTAGAACTTCATGATACAAGAAAATGAAAAAGGGATATTTAAGGAGGAAGGACGAAACAATGTGCATTATTCTAAAGAGAAATTTTGCAATTTTTTGTTTCTGTAATTGTTTAATTTAGCTATTGTAAAGACATTCATAGCATTCTTTTTAAATTAATAGATTGTTATCATGTCATACTTTGCTCTTTCATTCATTAAGTTGGGAAAAAAATTTATCAACAACTATCAAACTAAATAGTTTTTATGATAGGTATCGTTGTGGTATGTATACTGCGCGGCTTGAGTTAGGAAAATTGCCAATACAATGGTAATGGTACTTCATTCTGCATAAATTATTTATACGTAAACAATTAAAAATTATTATAGTTTTTAAAAAACATGGAACTTTAAGACTTTAAAAACAAACATTCTAAGTATTGACAAAACACCTTTACAGCCATTTTAAAATGGCCTTTGTTAAGAAGTAATGTACTACTTGTAGTACATACTTCTTAACAAAGATACATACATACATACTTCTTAATACATACATGTACTAATGTAGTAACTACATAAAAACTCACATTATGAAATGTGATTTAAATATTTTTATTGTTTATTTTACTAATTTTAAACAGTTGAAAAGCATGCTTACTTTTGGGTTTAATTTGCAATAACTTTTTTGTTTATAAACATTTGTTAATTTAGAAAATCTTTTTATGTGAATTTAAATTAACAAATATTGAACGAGTTAATGATAATAAGTACTATTTACCTGTTAAAAATTTTCCAACATAAATGTATACTCCCTATCATTATATATCTCTTCCCAAACCTGGCCCACATGAGTCGATATATTGATGGGTTCTTTTCTTTCTTTGCTTTGTTTTCGATTATCCATTGTCTCTCCAATTTGTCTCCACATTTGGCCGAGCTACAAGCTTTGAGGACTTCGTAGAGGTCGTCTTCTTCGAGATCGTTGTTTTTGTAAGCTTTTTTGAACAAACTTACTGTGTATCTGAAATATAAACATAAATTTATTGTAAAATTTTAACATAGAAGTCAAAAATCGAAAATGTAGCGGTCTTGAAAGCCAACATAACCCATGCCATCGGTTAAGTTAACATGATTTGTGCGCCAATTTTTAGTACGCCAGACATTGCGCCAGACATTAGAAGAATGTTATGTTCCATACACAATGGAATGAGAGGTCTTTAAACGAATAAAAAATTTCGACGATATCTCACACTTGGTTTAATTTAAATTTAAAAGTAGATAAAAATAGATTTATATAAAGATATAGTTCCTATAGTTCTTACAAAAATCATCAGAATTTTTTCAAAATTCCCTACAATTACTGTACAAATAACATAACTGGTTATTACAAATAGAGAAATTATCAATTTTAGAATACATAAAAACAGCTTGATACACTTAAGATACAAGATATTGTTGATCTAAATATTATTTAGCGAATCTGTTTACTTTTAAACCAACTATCAGGAAATCTTCACCGGTAAGCGCAATATTAGGTGCGATTATATGGTTAGGTAAAGGTACTTGTTTGAAACAAAAACTGCGAAACCAGCACTTTCATCAGTGTTTGATCCATCTGTATAAATTATTGTTAAATCTTCCTCTAATTTGCTTAGTATGGATTTAAATATCAGATTGGTTAAAATTGGCAAGTCTGAATAAGAAGGCAATATAAAAGTTGGTTTGTCTATCAGAACTTCAAGGTCTTCTTCGTAAAAAGGAAATTTTGGTAGCTGCAATGAATTCGGATCAATAAAAGATTCTGCAAGAGGAGGAGACTTTTTTATTCTCCAATAAGAATTTGTTAAATTCTCTATCAAAAGTAAACCTATTTTGTGAACCATAGTTATATTAAACGATCTGTATGTTATTGGCTGATATTTGCCTATGTATGTGTAAATGTGGTCCTCGTGCTTCTCTTAGAACTGGTTGGTTTGGTGAAGACATCATATCTCTAAATTTGTATTGATTTAAATTGTATTCTGTCTAAACGCAGGAGGTTGATTCCACGCTCGCACTCTTATTTTACAAACTTTATATGGCTGGACCACAAGAGTTTTTTATTTAGGATCATGCCTAGATACTTATACTCTTTTACTAATGGGAAAATATAATCACCTATCTGGCATTTGTGGCATCCATACAAAATGTATGGAGCATCCATGTTACCTTGACCTCTTCGAAACCCATACATACGATTTTGTCATACATGATACTAACGAAATGGGTGTATGAGATGATGGAATTTCTGGATTTAAGTTAAATTTTGGTAATGGGCATATGATAAAATTTTTTAAAGTATCGCAATATTCTTGTTTCAACCACCAACTATTAAGGATTTGTAAGAGAATGTCTTTGGCATTTGACGGCAATTTGTCCAATATCTACATAAAACCGTCTAAACCCGGGGCTATATTTCTCCTTTTTTGTAGTGCAAAATGCAGTTTTGAAGAAGTAAAAGGTTTTGACATGGAATCTATACTAGTAATAAAACGAAAAATTTCCTGTTTAATGAGCTCTTCCAAAAGTTGAGGTTTTTTTATCTTATAGTTATTGGAAATTGATCTTACGGTTAATTAAATTAATTATTCTTCATTCCTAATAAATCCATCAACAAAATGGAATGATTGCCGCGCTGAATGGAAGCTATTTTAGATAGATTTAGAAAAACAATTATCTACATTTTTATCAACTGATAATCTTCCTAACGATGAGAAGACAGCCGTAATCTTTTAGACTATCTCTCTAGCTGCTTCGAAATCGATGTCCATAAAGAAACCTTTTACTCCTTCAACACCAAGGTCTTATTGGCGAAATGAGGAATGTACATATAAAATAAAAAAATGAACAGGAGCCTTGAAAGCGTATTGAATGCAAAGTAACCATAATAATTACATATATATATATACATATATATATATATATATATATATATATATATATATATATATAATCGGCTTAAAACGTCCTCCGACGTCTTCCGATGCCCAATCTCCATGCATCTCTATCTTCCCAAAGATCTTCGTCTAAACCTCTCTCTCGGATCTCTCTGTCTATTCCTTCTCTCCAGCTCTTTCTGGGTCGGCCTCTTTTTCTCTTTCCATGTGGTGACCAATCTATAATCTGTTTGGGCAGACGATGTTCTGGCATTCTCTGCACATGTCCATACCACTTTAGTTGTTGTACTCTTATATCTTCGACAATCGTATGTGTGACTCCCATAACCTCTCGTATACGTTCGTTATTAATTCTTTCGAGTTTTGATTTTCCTGCGGCCCGTCTCCAGTAGTCCATCTCCGTGGCTTGTAGTGTTCTTTCAGTAGTTGCCTTTAACTGCCACACGTCACTTCCATACATTACTATGCTCTTTATAATAGTGTTGTATATTCGATGTTTTTTTTTTTATATGTTGATCCCAGATAATATCTATTTAGTTGAGATATGACCCTTCTACCCTGAGTGTTTCGTTTTTTTATGGCCTGATCTGATTTGCCGTCGTCTGTGATTTCTACTCCTAAATAGGAATATTTATTGTTGTACTTAATGTGTTGTCCGTCGTTTAAAACTAGATTTTGTTCTTTACCACCGATGTTCATGTACATTGTTTTATCTATGTTGACTTCTAATCCCCGTTTTTTGTATTCTTCGATTAATTTTCGAGTCATGTATTCTAGGTCGTCATATTCGTTAGCAATCACAATTTGATCATCAGCAAAACATAGAGTGTACAGGTTGTTATTGTTTAGTTGTATACCCATGCCGCTGCATTTCCGCTTCCAGAGTTTTAATGCTTGTTCCAGATATATTTTGAAAAGTGTCGGCGCTAAGCAGCATCCCTGCTTCAGTCCTTTGTCTACTACAAAACCTTTGGAAACATTCGTTCAACTTTGGCGTTGGCGTTCTCATATAGTTTTTCCACTGCTGTTATGAGATTTGAGTTGATGTTCGTTTGTCTGAGAGTGTTCCATAACTTATTTTGAGGGATGCTATCGTAGGCCTTTTTTAGATCAACAAACAAAAAGTGGACTTCTTGATCTACAGCAACCTTTTTTTCTATAAGTTGGGTGATACAAAAAAGTGGTCTGTGGTCGATCTACCAGCTCTAAAACCCGCCTGTTCTTCTGCCTCCATATCAGTGTATTCTCTTTCTATTCTATTTTTGATCATTTTCCCATAGATTTTACTAATGGTACTAGTAACTGCTATTCCACGGTAATTGTCGCAATTTTGTTTGTTTCCCTTTTTATGTAAAGTAGATAATTACATAAACTATAAAAATATAGCAGCCCAAACCAGACGATTATTTAAAATAAAGAAAAAAGGTAGTTAGAAAAAAGATAAATTTTTTAAATAGTCTGAACAAAAGCACACCTCTCTCAAAAATATAGACAATTCAGACACATATTATACATTTTAAAGTAGATGACTTTTAAATAATATTGCCAATATTGTTGAGTTGCGTTCCTGGGACGACTTTATTGTAAGATAGGTCATTCGATTATATGAAATGAACTTTAACTTTGTCAAGAATATTCGTCAGAAAATTATCTTACAATAAAGTCGTCCCAGGAACGCAACCCAGCAATATTGGCAATATCATTTGAAGTCGTCTACTTTAAAATCTATAATATATATGTATGAATTGTCAGTACAAATTAATCAGAAAAAAATAGATTCTTAGAAGAATTTTACACCAAGTAACAAAAAACAAAAATTGTTTAACTTATTAATGTTTATATTTTGAGAACGATTTGTATCGTGGAAATTGAAACGTCAATAAACTTATTTTAAACTTTAATTGTAGCTTATTCCCATTTCAATAGTAATTTATTTAGTAAATTATAACAAAATACAACCCATAGTTTGTTTAAAAACAAAAGGTGAAGCATATGGCAGGAGAAGTATTTTATGCTAATTTTTAAAGCAAGACACCACAAAAACAGATAAAAATTATGTATGAAAATAAATACCATAAATGTTTTTAAATTAAAAATAGCACCATACGAGGAACCTTAATCCACAATTGTGGGTAATAATAATACTCCTTTTGATTACATCGTAATAAAAACAATTAAAATAAAAATAAACAAAGCTATTAAACATTTTGGAATCTAAAAAGGAAATTTTCACTATAAAATAAGTAATAAACTCCACCAACTTAAAAAATTACTTTAATTCCATGTGTGAAACTTAATATTTGTGTTTGCTGTAACCAATTTTAAAACCATTCAAAACAACTTTGTTAGCAGTAAAAGAGATGGTAAGATCTCACAAGGTTTTGGAATTAATAAATGATTAAGACAGTGTTATTGTCTTTCTCTAAAAGCAAATTGTCAAATAAGAAATCCAAAAAAATTATATGATAATAACATATTGTATGACTAGATAGTTTAGAGGACTACTATGGCATCAAATACATCTTCTTCTTCGACTTCCTCTTTATAAGCAATTCTGCTTGTTTATTGGTGGAATAATATATCTATGGGAGGTTATATATCTATCTAGGACAAGCAATCAGAGCTAACAGAGAAAATCAAACAGCCGAAATATCGAGACGAGTAAGAATAGGATGGGCAGCGTTCGGCAAACTTTCTTACGTTTTAAAAAATCAAACAATCCCTCTATACTTACGAAGCAAGGTATATAACTCCTGCATAATACCGGTGCTCACCTACGGAGCACAGACATGGACATTTACACAGGCCAATTTGGATAGGATAAGGAAGGCACAAAGAGCGATGGAGAGACAAATGTTGGGTGTATCACTTAGAGATAGAAAACGTAACCAGTGGATCAGAACCAGAACAAAGACAGTAGACGCAGTAGACAGTAGACGCGATAGAACAAGCAGCAAAACTGAAATGGAAATGGGCTGGACACAATGAACGTCTCCAAGACGGACGATGGAACAATGCCATCGGAAAGTGGCGTCCATACAATGCAAAGAGATCAAGAGGCAGACCACAGATGAGGTGGAAAAATGACATCAGGAAACAAGGAGGTCCCACATGGCAGAGAACAGCTCAAGATAAGCAAAGATGGAGAGAACTGGGGGAGACCTATATCCAACAATGGAAGGATAGAGAATAGGTTCAAAAAAAAATGGGAGGTTATTACGCTATCCTTTGTGCGGTCATCCGATACTTCTTCTGCCGATTGGTGATTTATTGCCATTTCATCGGCCGATCCTGCTTATATGGTTATTTGATAGCCTTCATCGACTCTATTAAAAAAAATTATTTCGGACATCCATTAGATCATGCCATACATGAAGCAACAAACTGTCTCACTTCTTCTGGAACAAACATTACATTAATTTGGATTCCTTCACACGTTGGCATTTTAGGTAATAAGACTGCTGATACTAACAACTAAAGACCAGCTTTTAAGGGCCCAAATCAAAAAGTCCTGGCAAAATCAATGAAAGGATTCAACCTCGAAATTACACAAAATACAACCTACCACTGTCCTTCCCAACCAGACCTATCCGAGAAGAAAACTCAAATACAGTTTTAATAAGGCTCAGAACATCTTTTAACAGCGCATGGGAACAAGTACCTTTGAAAAAGAATAAAAAGAAGAAAGAACACCAGCTATCATTTCCATTGATAAAAAAAAACAGTTCCATCAAGCCAAAAATGAAGAGAAGAGAAAACTGGTTGTAGAACAAATCAAAACATACAGGTTGGTGTTCAATATAATTCAACAATTAACTAAAAAATAATTTTCTCTAAAATTAAAAAAATGTACTCAGTGTGAATGTTTTGAAAAATCTGACTGTTTAACACTTTCTGCACCATTTCTATATCAAATAATATCTATAATATCAAATAATGATATCTATAATATCAAATAATAATATCTATAATATCAAAGCGGGAGTTACCGTTAAAATTAATTAACAACTTACGATATGCAGATGACAATTTGATGATAGCAACGAGTATAGAAGATCTACAACATCTTATCTAAAGCTTAAGTATGAATAGTGCTGAGATGGGAATTACTATAAACGCTAAAAAAATGAAGTACATGCTAATTGCATAAAGACCACAAAATATACATCACCTATTGACAATCAATGGTAACGTGATAGAACAAGTAGAAAAATATCAGTACTTGGGAACCTTGATCAATGAAACCAATGATCGCAAAAATAAACAGGCGAATAGCGATTGCCAGATCAGCATTCATACGAATGAAGCCACTCCTAACGTGCAAAAATCTAAATTTGGAGATCCGACTACGTACCATTCGCTGTTATATATTTTCAATATTATTATATGGAGCTGAGACTTGGACATTAAAAAAATGCATTTTAAAAAGAATCAAGGCTTTCGAACTCTGGTTATACGGCAGAGTATTAAAAATATCATGGACTAATAGAATTACAAATAAAGAAGTACTAAGTACTGGAGAGGGTTGGTAAAGAAACAGAACTAATCACCACTATACAAACCAGAAAACTGACATAACTAGACCACGTGACGAGAGAACCAAAATATGAAATTTTGAGACTCATAATACAGGGAAAGATTCAAGGAAGAAGATCTGTTGGTCGAAGGCAGAACTCATGGTTGAAGAATCTATGTGATTGGTATCAATCCAGATCGATTGATTTGTTTAGAGCGGCAAGTTTAAAAATAAAAATAGCCATTATGATTGCCAACCTCCGTAGGGAGACGGCACTCTAAGAAGAAGAAGCACCATTTCTATTCATTTACAGAGTTGCTACCTATTTCTATGGAGAAGTTCAAGGACCTCCAGTGTCTTAAAGATTTTTTTGGCATTAAAGCTAAAGCCTATTGATAACCTTACAGCCAAAAACAAGAAATAAACCATAATTGTAAAATGTTTTTTATGACAATGTTTCCTTTGATACTTTTTGCAATAAAAATATATTTGCTCTATTTCTGTTTTATTTTTGACAAAAAATAGACAGCCAATGATTTTATAGGAAAAGAACTTAGTAAGTCCTTCTTTACAGGGGAAAAAAGTGCATGTAGACGAATAGAAAAGAAGTAATAGCATGAATATGCAATATAAATTAAAAAAAAAAAATAAAACGTAAATCAACAACCAATATATCATGTTTTTTCTTTTTATTACTAATTAATTGTAAGATATATTTTAACATAATCACAAAGTTTTAAACTTTAAAAATGTTCTCTTGAACAAAACCAAAAATGTGATTTATCAAGTTATTTTCCTGTGGTCTTCATGAGTCATGCGAAAAATTTATCCGAAAATCAAACCAGACATAGCTACTTGTTGGTGACGTAGATGCAGTAGCACAATTAATATTGAAAGTTAAGGATATTTTCTCGAGCTATAAAGAAGCTGCATTAAATATTAAAGTAAATGCAGACAAAACAAAATATATGGTCGTTATCGCCATCGTCATCGTCATCGTTAAAATAAGAATGTGACGAACAAGGTAAAATATAAACGATCATAAGTTCTAAATCGTTAAAGAATTTAAATAGCTAGCAGTAACAATCACCAATGTTAAAATAAAACGAGAAGTATGACGGAAAACACTTTTTTCTTTGTAATGCAACATGCAATGAGGTCAAAACTTATCTCACAAGGTGCAATAATCCAGATATACAATTCATAATAGGACCAGCAGTTGCGTATGAAAGCGAAACATGGACGCTTACAGAAAAGAAGTAAATAAAGTGCTGTCGTGCGTGGTGGTAAAGACGCGCAGACACAACAACGAGTTAGAGTCTTATATCGCCTATATCGTCTGTAATGGCCTTATAAACAATGTGTTTTGTTTATAAGGTTGTAAGACGACCTAGAAAAAGGTAAAAAGATGCAGTCAGAGAGGATCTGGAGAAAATGGGAACGGGAGAATGGAAAATAGTGATACAGGACCGACAAATATGAAAGGGAATAGTAAACGCAACAAACGTTCAAGCTTACTAAGAGCTTGTACGCCTTTAACGATGATGATCTTTTTTGGAAATTACCCACATTAAATCTGTTAATAAAGTAAACCGCACAGGGAAATAATTTTTGGACTGGAAGCGTCTGAAAGTATCGAAATGTCAGTAGCAATTACTTTTAATTACAAATGTTGTGGTTTATTATAAAAAATAGTATTTATTATAAAATATACCACAATAAAATAGCTTCAGAACCATATCAATAATTGATAGATTTTAGAAATTAAATAACTGTATGTTTGTACATTAACAAAAAATTACTTACGCAAAGCTGAGTAAAGAAAAAACATTGGCAGTCTCCCTTGGATTCCGCTTCCTTTTCTTCTGCTCACAATGGTCCATTTTGTATCATCAACTATTCATTGAATTCACCTGATGAATTTCCAGAACAAAACAAAAATTCCGTTAACAAAATTCCGCTGGCAATTTTCCTTAAAAGAAAAGTTTATGTAACACCGACAGAATACAATAGCGCTATAAAAAAACATAATTATCAAAGTTTATAGTGTTAGATTTGAGGCTGGTTATATTTGGAGTATCAATGTTAAAATATGTGTCACGTCTTTTAAATGACAATACATACTTTAACGATTTTAAAGAGGAAATGTCTATATACAAGTGGTTCAATGTAATAATAACGTGCCAATTACGATTCTATATGAGGTGGATTCAAACACAAGAAGATGGTAGGGGTAAAAGTTCAGTTCACGATTTTCAGCGTGGGTTTTACATCTAATTTTTTTTAACCCAATAAAGGAAAAACCTTAAAGAAGCTGTTATTAACATTTGAAATATATCATTGGTGTATAATTTGATTAGCATATTTGTTGTAATAAATACATAAATTGATTTGATTTGCTTATATACAGGGAAAATAACTTAAAAATCGTAGAACTTTTAAAAAAAAAATTCTACAAAGCATCAAAATTTCAGTACCACAACAGAAAAAAGTATACCAAAGTTAACGTCAATAGATTACCATCTATAGATGACATTTTACCAATATAAGAGGTTGTGCAATTGGTTACATCAAACTCTGGGTTCTACCTCCATAATTCATAGTTTCTTCTCATCTACCTTTCTCCAGTCTGTAAGGAGCTGGTCGTGTCTATGTTTGACATTTGCCAGTGTGCCAGATGCAGAAAAGATAACAATTTTAGCAAATTTTATTATTGTCACCTCTAGGGAAGGGCAGTCAATAGTGTAAATTTAAAATAGCGACTAAATCTAACCGTTGCCTTAGTTTTTGCTTAATATCTCCGCCATTTTCAACTTCTCTTCAAAAATGGTAGGGACTGAAATTGTTACAAATGCAATTTCCTACACTCACTTATTTACAAATTTTTTCGTGCGGTCAATATTCTTTGAGTTAAGAGGGGAAATAGGGGAATGGGGGAGGGGGAAAGCATAATTATAATTATCGAAATATCTCGTTTGAATGTCCATAAACAAAAATGGAGAGAATTGTATTTTATATAATTTTGGTCCCTTTCAATTTTTTGTTAAAATTAATATTTGAACGGTAAAAGCGCAACCTTGCGGAGATTAGTGATATAGGGATTAATTTTATTCAATATTTAAGCACGAAAAAATTGTAAACAAGAATTTATAAAAATTCGCATTTGCAACAATTTCTCCTTACCCTTTTGGTTGAAAAGTTGGAAATGGCGAAGAGATTGAGCTAAAACGGTTCCCGTTTTTTGGTATTTTTAATAAAGCGATAAAATTTTTCATTTTTAGACAAGAACATGCTCAAAATATGATAAGCTCTTTTTATCAAGTTCTTGTCTAAAAATGGCAAATTTGATCGCGCTATTAAAAATACCAAAAAAGATATCAAAAACCGTTATTTATTGACATAACAGTTGAGTTTATGTGCTAAAACATGGATGAAAACACCAAGCAATGAGTTTTTTTTTTAAATTTTGATGATTTTCGGACCGAATATAGCAATTTTACCCCCGCTATTTAAAAGAAGAAAAAAAACCAAAAAAAAATAATTGTTTAAAAGTTTGCCCAAAATTACCTACATAAATTCAAATATTTTTCCTGAGCTTAATTTTAATCCAAATAAATGTAAAGTTTTTTTTTATTTAGAAATTCCGCATCAACCATTAAAGGTTATTAGCGGGTTTTACAGATTTTACAGTTGTTATTAAATATACTAATTACAAATTGTGTATTAAATTACAAATAATGAATTACAAATTACAAAAGGATACATATAATATAACTTAAATTTTGTGTAGTAAACGTATGTCCTTAAGGAATTTGATTGTATTTGATATATTACTGTTTAAAATATATTTAAGTTTCTTTGCTTCTTCTGGTACGTTGTTGATGGCTCTTTCTTAGGAATAAAGAGGATAATAATAATAAAATGTAAAGTTAATAAGAAAGGTTTAAGGCATTAAAATGTATCTTTCGTTAATTTTTCAGAATTTTTAAAGCAAAGAATCGCTCAGAAAAATACATTTTTGATGGGGGACCGCTCGGATCTCTTAGGGAACTAAAAAATTCGCTAAAACGGTTCCTAAATATGTATTTTTGAGTGTCCCAAATAAAAATACAGCAAAGTGCAGATTTTACTATATATCTTATTCCACTATAGCCTTTCACTTCATACTAAAATACAATTAGACTTATCCAATAGAACAGGGCAAACCCAAAGTAAACATTATACAAGTTTATGCTCCAACCGCGGACAAACGGAGAACAATATTGGAAGTTTTGATACGGTTGAAAAGAAGATACAGCTTTTTAAACCTAAACGAAAGGGTCTCTTCTTCTTAAGGTGGCTTACATACTTACTGAATGTTGGCGACAATTCTAGCACACTGGTTTCATTCCTTTATATTCTTTAGCTGCGAGTATTTTTTCTACCGATGCCTCTTTGTTTTTTAATCTTCCCCTACATAATCAATTTTAAAAACTGGTACTTGGAATTCCTATATATGTGGTCCAGGTAAGGCAGCTTTCCTTCGCTTATTCGCTTCACTATTTGTAGTAGTTCTCTTGTTCTCCTGAACACCCACATTTCAAAAGTATCAAGGCAATTCAAGACATTAGCTTTTATTGTCCAAATAGCCACCCCATCCGGCAGCACTAAGTAAATGTAACATTTTATAAAACGGTCCATTTCGTTAAATTATTACCCTTGTTCATAGGCAAAATTCTCATATTCATAAATAATTGTTTTTTTTTTAACCTATTCTCTATCCTTCCATTGTTGGATATAGGTCTCCCCCAGTTCTCTCCATCTTTCCTTATCTTGAGCTGTTCTCTGCCATGTGGGACCTCCTTGTTTATGATGTCATCTTTCTACCTCATCTGTGGTCTGCCTCTTGATCTCTTTGCACTGTATGGACGCCACTTTCCGATGGCATTGTTCCATCGTCCGTCTTGGAGACGTTCATTGTGTCCAGCCCATTTTCATTTCATAAATAATTGTTACACTTTCCTATTCAATTCTGCTACTTATTCCTCTGTTTGGGTCAAGGTCCTCAGTTATCCAGCTTTCGAGATATCCCAACTTGGAACTTGACGAATAGTATTACCGTTCACATTTATACTTAAATGTATATTCTTGTTTAGCTACCCGCCATTACTTTCGTTATATCTTAATTAACTTTTAAACTGACTTGTTCTCATTCCGTATTTAATCTATCCATAAGACGTTGTAAAGCTTCCTAGTTGTCAACAATTATGACATCGTCATCGGTATGGCGAAAGTTATTAATAACCTGTCAATTAATCTTTATGCTATCTTCAATATATCTCAAGACCCTCTCAAAAATTGTTTTAGAGTAAAGATTGAATAGTAGAGGAGACAAAACGTTACCCTCTCTTACGCCTTTCTCTATTGGAAAGTTCTATGTAGTTTCTCACTTTTACCGATGTTTTTTATTTAAGTAGAGGTTCTTAATAAATCTTAAGTTATTCTGCTCTATTAATTTACCTTGTAGCAGTTTTATTAATTCTGCATGTTTGACACTATCGAACGCTTTCTGGTAATCAATGAAGTATAGGAAAACGTCTTGGCGTTGGTCTGTGCAGTTTTAAAGCAATACAGTCAAACAGAGTACTTCGCGTATGCTACAAGTACCGGTACTGTCACCACTACTGTATCTAATATACACCACAGACATTCCAAGAACACCAGGAAATTTACTCAGCCAGGAATTTACTAGCAGTAAATAATCTATAAACACTATAACCAGCGTAGGAAATTATCGAAGAATGGAGTCTACAATAAAAAATCACCATAAAAAGACACATCAACTGCCAGAGAAACAACTGACAATGCAAAATAACAGCATCGAATAGAAAAACGAAGCTAAATATCTGGAAGTAATAATGGATAAAGGACGATAATATTCAAAAATCACGTAGACGCTACACTATAAATAACATCATATTACCGATACTATCGTCGCTGAACGATTTCTATTCAGGGAACTGCAACAACTCAGTGTGACTAACATGTATGACAAGTCCAGATGCGGGAGATAATGAGATATGATGCGTATCATCGATGGAAGCACAAACACCCGACACAACGAATACTAGATTAAAAATAAAATTGTAACCCAGAGAGAAAACATAAAATAAAAATCAGAGGAGAGTTCGTACCTCTATCAATGCAAACAAGTACAAAATACTGTAGACCCCACTAATAAGATTTTTCTTTAAGGACATCCTACAAAAAAAATAAACAAAAACATCAAAAACAGATTTGGCCACCAAAAAAATAAAAAAAAAATACTAACAAAAACCGGCGCAAGTCACCAAAAAAATTAACGGAGAACAAGAAAAACTCGGGCACTTGGAGCTAAAACCCTTGAGCATCAAGTCTCCGAACTAAGAGTAGCCGGAGAATTGTGGCCTTAATTATCAATTTCAGTTTCCCGGATAGGTCACAGGAGTAAGGCGCCTAACGCTAGCCTTAATTTGAATCGATTAGGGAACTATGTTGGAGTTCTATTACCCAGGACTCCCTCCTTTTGGGAGACTGATAGTGTGACCCTATCACGCATTAGAATGCTATAGAGGGGAAACGGTTGGAATGGAGAATTGAAGTGATATAAACACGAATTAATACATCTCGCTCCAATGAATTGTTGCACCCGAACGTTATTCTAAGGGGTGGACAAGTCTAACAGGCCAGGTTTAATCAAATTGCTTGCTTGTTTGAGCCAAGTGAACACACATTTTAATCATATTAGATGTATCGGAGACGAAAATAATAGAATACTGGTGCACAAATAGAACGTCAAAAAGCCGAGCAAATATTTTTACAAATCTTTTCACTAAAAGTTTGGATAAAAACTGGTATAATCAAAAAAATAGAAGACGAGAAAATTGCCCAAGCACTAGTAGTAAAGACAGAACGAAGTTGGCTAACAAGTTTGATAAATAAAATTGTAAAAGTGCAACAATCTTCAGAGGAATTAATAAGCAATTTCTTAGTATATTATGTATGTGTACAAAAATACAGAATGTGCTCAACAACTAACAAACCATAGGGTAATAAATCTACTTAGCTACGAG